TTTTTTTAAAGAGAGAGTGAGAGAGGGGGGAGAGAGAGAGAGAGAGAGAGAGAATTTTTTTTTAATATTTATTTTTTAGTTCTCGGCGGACACAACATCTTTGTTGGTATGTGGTGCTGAGGATCGAACCCGGGCCGCACGCATGCCAGGCGAGCGCGCTACCGCTGAGCCACATCTCCAGCCCCCAAGATCATATTTTGCACTGTGGTCACCAGTCCTCCTTTGAGCAAGAGGATGGAAGGATGTGGGTTCATCCATAGCATTTGTTCACAGGCTCACAAATAAACCATCTTTTTGTTTTGCTTTTGTTTCCAATGCTTTGCTGATGTATAGTGTGTATGCAGGAAAGTGCAGTTCCTAAGCACGTGGAACGATTGGCTCCAGTTTTTATTTGGATTTTAAACATTTGCTGAGCATTTACTACATGCCTAAGAGCAGAAGAGTCCCAGCTTTAGATTAATACATCAGCCCATCACCACTGCTCCATACTTACAGAAAAGGAAGCAGCCKCAGGAGGATGCAGGGACACACCCCAGACAGACCCAGTCAGCATCGGTGGAGCCAGGGGCAAACCCAGGTAGTGAGCTTCAACGCCAGTGCTCTCAGTAGCTGTGCTGATGGTGTAGGGAGTCCCAAGGTGTAACTGCTGGGACCTGAGTGCCCTGTCCTCCCCACCTAATCCCCACTCCCCTCCCCTATTCCTTGTCTGACCACATGGCTCCTGACAGCCCTCTTGGAATCGCCACTTCCCATCAACCACCAATGTGCTCTTCCCTGCGGGCTCTCACACCCACCAACTTCTCTCCATTCCTGCAGCCACTGTTCCGGCCCAAGCCACCATTGCCTCTCATGTGGGCACAGCCTGCTTGCTGTTTTCCTACATGTCTTCTGGGCACCTTGTCTAGTGCAGAGAGGCCTCCCAAGCTCACTAAGCTGGCCTCCCAGTCCCCTCTTAGAATCCTCAGAGGTGCCCCAGGGCCCTTACGATGATGGCCTTGGTCTGACCAGCCTACGTTTCCGGCCAAGTGTCCTCCGGGCCTCCGCCTGGAGTCACTTCCTTGGACACACCTTCGCGACCTCCATCCGGAACGGGTTGCTGTGTTGGCTTTTGCATTACACGTGTTCATTCCTATGGGAGATACTGACCTGTTCCTCCCTCCCACTGTCGTCTCTCCAGGGCCTGGGACACTGCCTTGCACATAGGAGGTATTGCAGCTATGGCCCACAAACTGCTTGACACTCCTCCTCTGGGAGGCGGGGTCTATGTCCCTCCTCTTTGAATCTGACAGGCTGTGACTCCTTCAGCACACAGAAGACAGCAGAGGTCACGTTGTGAGACTTCCGAGCCCATTCACAAAGTCCACCTGACTCTCGCTCTCTGCTTGCTCTCTAGGAGCCTGGCTGTGTGCTGAGAAGCCCAGGACACATGCAAGGCCATGGGCAGGGGCTCTGGTCAAGAGCCCTAGCTGAAACTGGCTCCAGTTCTTTTGCAGAGGTGTCAGCCATAAGTGGAGAAGTTTCCAATGGTTCCAGTCCCCAGCATGAAGCCGTCCCCAACTATTCAATCTTCTTAGCTGAGGCCCCAGATATCATGGAGCACCAGCCATTCTGCCTGCCCTGTCCAAGTGCCTGATCCACAGAACCCCTGAGCAGGCCACAATGGTGGTTTATGCCACTAAGGAACAGTCAACCGGAACTGTATGTTTAGGTGTCAAGAACTTTGGCTCTAATGTCAGACAGGCCTGAATTTGAATCCTAGGTCTGTCATTTATTAGTGAGGTCCCTGAATGTGGCCATACCTCAGCTTCCCCATCTTACAGGAAGCTGAGAGACACTACCGAGTAGTCTAAGAGCCCACAGTCATTCACCCAGCAGGTGGTACTGAGCCCCTAGCATGGCCAGTTTCTAGATAGTTACACCCACAAGGCGCTTGGGACAAAGATGTCCCCCATGTGTGTTAATTCCACAAATATGTGTTGCTTCCGAGCTCTTCCTGAGATTCAGGTGAGGCACGTGACTTGCCCAAGACTGCACAGCTGATGTGCACCTTTGGTTCCTGTCCTGCAGAGAGCCAAAGGTGCACAAGCCCAGCCCGTGGAGGAAATGCATCCCCCACAAGGCAGATGGTAGGAGCCCTCATAGCTGCTTGAGATTTCCTGGATGCAAACCTTTTCCCTCCAAAGAAAAGAGCTCCTTTTCCCTCCAAAGGGCCTGGGGAGGAAGCAGCCTGGAAGTCYTCTGCTACGATCCAACCTCCCCTAAGTCTTGCTCTATGTGGGGCTGGGGCTGGGTCTCAGTGGTAGAGCGCTTGCCTAGTAAGTGAGGCACTAGTTTGAGTCTCACAACCACATAAAAATAAATAAAATAAAGGTATTGTGTCCATCTACAACTAAAAATATACTTAAAAATCATGCTCTATGTGATTAGATGTGTCTCTTTCCCCATCCGGACCTCTGTTTCCATAATTGTAAATGTAAAGACCAGGGTAAAGGTGGGGACTTTGCAAGATAATCTTATCAGATGATGGGGGTGGGGCGGGCAAAGGACTTAACTGATCCTGTGCCTGGATCATTCCAGCCAGTGTGCCTGCTCTTTTGAATTGTTATGTGATGCTCACGACATCATATTAATTCTGCTGGAGCTGATCTCTGGGTTGTGGGATTTACAAGCATGGCTATTTTATGTTACAGGCAACAAGAAAAAAARTATTCTGAAATCAGAATAATCACCATAATTTAACTTCCCGAATCAGGTCAGGAGAGACAGGAAAGGCAGCTCTGGGAGTCCCCTACCACTGTGGGAGGGTGGACACCATCAGGTGATGGGAGACTCATGCTGGGCCCAGGGGGATGTCCCCTAGGTGTGGAGTACAGGCCTGCCTGGGTTCTGGCATCCACAGGCAGCCTTGCCAAGTCCCAGTGCCCAGGACCAGTGACACAAAGACCCCTGGGAGTGGGCCCTGGACATCTGTATCTTTGAAGCTGTCCAGCTGATTCCACTGAACAGCCAGGATGGGAAGCCGTGCCAGGGGCATCAGCTGCCCCTGGGGTCCAAAGACTTGCACAGATGGTGCTGAGGGTGGGAGGGGACAGATGGCTGCACATTCTTCTCACACAGTGCTGCTGGGAGGGGCAGCATGCGTGTTTGAGATGGCTGGGGAGACTGCGGACCTGCCCTTGACCTCCGAGAGGACAAATGTTCCCAGCCAGAAGATCAGGAGCTAACAATTGTTTGAAATAGCAAACGGCCCCACTGGATTTTAACATTCTCTAAATAGCTTGCCATCATTTGAAAATCAGGTGTCACATTTTAAAATTCTTTAGTTCTAATTTCTCATAAAATAAAATCAGAGATGACATTCCTGGGTTGTCTGTCCCTGAGCAACAGTGACTGGAGCAGAGTGTCGGCTACTCCTTAAAACTGGTGTCCAGGGCTGGGGATGTGGCTCAAGCGGTAGCGCACTCGCCTGGCATGCGTGCGGCCCAGGTTCGATTCTCAGCACCACATACAAAGATGTTGTGTCTGCCGAAAACTAAAAAATAAATATTAAAAACTCAAAAACTCAAAAAAAAAAAAAACCAAAACTGGTGTCCAGCAGGTGTGGTGGCACCCGCCTGTAATCCCAGCAACTCAGAAGGCTGAGGCAGGAGAATTCCAAGTTCATGGCCAGCATCAGCAATTTAGCAAGACCCTATTCTCAAAAAATAAAAAAGGCTGGAAATGTAGTTCAGTGGTTGAGTGCCGTTGGGTTCAAATCCCAGAGCAAAAMCAAACAAACAAACGGTGTTCAGCCAGCAACACAGCCCAGTGATACTTGCCAGGGACATGAAAAATTTCCAGAATGGCTTGAGGCTTGCCTTATTCCTTTCTTTAAACAAGGTCATAGGCACCTTGTTTGTCCCCTCTAGAGTCACTTAATCAGACTGTTATACTACATGCTGGGCAACATAGGGAACTGTGCTGGCCAATGTAGCAAGACCCTGTCTCAAGATTAAAAAAATAAAAAGCCAGGCGCGGTAGTGCACGCCTGTAATCCCAGCAGCTTGGGAGGCTGAGGCAGGAGGATCGTGAGTTCAAAGCCAGCCTCAGCAACGGTGAGGTGCTAAGCTACTCAGTGAGACCCTGACTTAAAATACAAAATAAGGCTGGGGATATGGCTCAGTGGTCAAGTGTTCCCGAGTTCAATCCCTGTTATCCCCCCACAAAAATAATAAATAAATAAAAAGAACTGGAGATGTGTCTCAGTGGTAAGGCACCCCGGGTTCAATGTGAAAGAAAGAAAAGAAAAGAAAAGAAAGAAGGAAGGAAGGAAGGAAGGAAGGAAGGAAGGAAGGAAGGAAGGAAGGAAGGAAGGAAACCTTGCATGGTGGTTAAGTTCTCATCAGTGCAACTATATATGTCTGTCCTGTTTGAAGTTCATTAATGATTATTGTAAAATCATCATGGGTAAAATGACCTAAAAAATTCTAGTCCGGGGTAAGTGACACACAAACCAGGAAGGAAAGGTGACACAGTCTCAATCACACAGCTTGTGGCCACAGAGAATGACTGAGACTCCTGAATCCTAAACCCCAAATAAGACACCAGGGTTCCCAGTACTCTCTCCCTCCACACTGGGGCTCGCTCATGTCTTAAGAATCTGCAGGAGGTCCTGGAAAGGACCTGGGCTTTGCATCCTGGGACCACGGTGGGAAGCGCACTCTACCACTGGGCAGCCAGGAGTCCTGGGGTGACTCCTGGACCCGTAGAGCTCATTCCTCACCTGCCTGGTGGAGGGAAATTCCTCTTCACAGGGCTGTTGTGGAGGTAGCGAGGCGACACCTGCCCTGGTACACAGCAGAGCAATCCCTCCCACACCTGGCCACGGCTGCCTGGCCATGCAGACCAGCCGGATCTGGGGACGGCAGCTTGTGAACGAATGGACCTCTCAGCCAGCAGGTTTTTCAAGGGTCTCCTGGGCACAGGAGCCCCCTTGTGGCTTTAATATGAACCCACTCACTCCAGCCCGGCCCTGCCCTGGGACCTCCTCTGTCCACCTGGCCACTGCGCCTGCTCACACCGTCTTCACTGGTTCCAGCTCCTCCCTCCAAGGCCAGGAGGTCATCTGGGATGATGGAGAAGCGCTGGCTCCTCTGGAGGTTTCGTGGGTCTAACTGGGGAGGAGATAGGTTGGGGGTCCCAGGGAGGCTCCTCAGTTGCCAGAGTCCTCTCCTCTCCCAGGTGAGTCTCTCCTGTCCACTTTGGTCATTGCTGTGGCCCAGCTCAATCTGAGACAAGCAAGCCGGAAGCGAGTGTATGGCTGGACCTCGGATGACATCAGAGTAAAGGAGGAAGAGAGACAAGTCAATGACTGGGTGGGAAGGGCCTCTAGAAATGGACAGGGTTCTTCGTAGGGTCTGAAAATCTCATTTTCCTGCCCCTCTCGCGTACACAGACAGGAAAGGCTGTCCTGTACACAGACAGGAAAGACAGGAAACACAGACAGAAGTCACAAGCCCTTGAGCAAATGAACAAAATGTTCAAAAACTGAGAATTTTTGGCTAAGGGTGTAGCTCAGCGGTAGAGCACTTGCCTAGCAGGCACCAGGCCCTGGGTTCAAGGGGGAACCCAGCACCACAAGGGGGAAAAAGAAATTTGAGAACAGCAGTAGCTGCACATTAAGCCAAGCCCAGCACCTGTGTGCCTTCACACTCACGTAGCCAGCCCTGTGCACAAAGCCCTGGGTGTTTGCATAGGTGTTTTCTGGGGAAATGGACCTCAGCTGTCAGGTTGTGACCCAGAAATGTTGGGTGAGAATCTGTTGCAGGTAGTGCACGTCTGTATCCCAGTGACATGAGGCAGGAGGATCCCAAGTTCAAGGCCAGCCAAACCAACTTAGCAAGGCCCTAAGCAAGTTAGCAAGACTCGGTCTCAAAATAAAAAATAAAAAGGGTTAGTGATATGAGTCAGTGGTAAAGTGACCCTGGTTTCAATTCCCAGGGCAAAAAAAAAAAAAAAAAAAAATGCTGCCACTGAGGTTCAGGGAGTGTCTCTATTTCTCAACCCACTTCTTCCCTGAGTAGACAACATGGAACCTGGACAGACTGCTGGGTAAGACAGGCTCTAGTGGCTGTGAGGACAGGGAGGCAGAGGGGAGGGTAGAATCCTTGCGACTTGCTGCTGGGCTGGACGGGGGTGGGAGGGACAGGCTTGGCAGCTGCCCATGTCACAGCTCGCATGGCTAGGCCAGGACACTGGTATTGCTCCTGGGCAAGGAAAATCGGGCAGAGGCAGGCTGCCATGCTTTGCTTTGTCGGGAAGGAACAGACATGGAGGGGTGTGAAGCAGCAGCAAGCAGCTCCAAGGAAGCTCAGAGACACACGTGGCGTCATAGGACCAGAGGTGGCACTTAGTCCCACTGCCACAGATGAGGCCTCTTTAGGCGTCCTGTGGGTGCCAGAGCTCCCTCTCTGGGCACGTCATTAGATTGTCCTGACACTTCAAGTTTCTATTTGTAAATGGAGGTAGGAATAATATCCTCTTTTAGCATTTCATAAAGGAGCCTGCAAAAGGCAAATGCTCAGCACGGCCCTGGCAGCCACCAGCCCATTATTATTGCATCATGATGGATGTCACGAACTTCTTCCATATGTATTGCAAACYGTGTGTGTCCGGCAGTGCTCTGGTGCTTGGATACCTTGCTTACCTGGCAGGCTGGAAGGTGCTCAGTGCCATGGGGAAGGGCAGTATAGAGCAGAGGGAGGGGGCGAGGGAGGTCACATAGGGTGGGTCAGGGTAGTCCTTTGGAAAAAGTGAAATTGGAGCATAGGACCTGGGAGGTGAGAAAGTGCCGAAGCAGTTGTGGAGGGAGGAGGGTTCCAGGCAGAGGGAATAGACAGTGCAAAGGCCCCGAGGAGAGTGATGGGAGATGGGGCCACTGTGAGGAAATTCCTTGTGGCAGCGGTGGCTGGTCCTCCCATGCGGCAGAGACAGTGAGCTCTGTCACAGTAGAGAAAGCCAGTGCTGCAGCACGGTGCGCCCTGAGGGGCCAGAGCTCCAGTATGGTGAGAGCAGGGGACAGCCTGCTCCAACATCGTGGGTGCTCAAGGCTTTGAGCAGGCCAGGGGCTCCCGATGCAGCCCCCAGCCTCTAGAACAGCCTTACCTGGTAGAGCAGGCTGACCAGTAGAGCCCCTCCTCTTCTGGGTCATGGAGTGGCCCCTTCCAGCAAAACTCAGCTGGCCCTTGGCTCCAGGGCTCCCAGTTGAGATATAAATCTGAAGCATTTTCCTCTGAATCTGTGAAGGTCCAAAACAAGGCCTCTGGGGTGGTCACCTCCTGTCTCCCACCCCARCCCCAAAGGATTCCCCTGCCAGGCCTGGGATCCCTACAACCTTATCTGAGGCCAGGAGATCCAGGCAGAATTGTGACATCTGGGCCAGTCCTGAGGCCTCACAAAGAGAACCTCCAATGACCAGGACCCAGAAAGAAGGTTGTTCTATGACTCAGAAAGCAGCCATATCCATGGACCAGAAAGGGAAGGACCTAGAGGTGCCAAATGACCTACTGTCAGGGAGCAGGCACTGAGAAGATACACACCCAGCCATCAACCCAGCCTCCATTTCTCCACAAGTTCACTCATCAAATACCTGCGTGTTATGTATGATGCCCATCACAGCGATATTTTGATGAAACACACACACAAATAAAAGAACCCCTGGAACCCCATGCACAGCCATCATAGAGGTCTGGTGGCTGAGACCGGCACTCTCACCCTGCAGAGACATGATTCATCATGAAGCTTTTCAAATGACTGCATTCTACCTGTCTCATTCAATTTGCAGGATGTCTGGGTATGTTACAAGTAAGTTGCAGAAAAATGTATATGGAAGATCTGTCTTTAAATAAATATTGCACCCCTTCCCACTATTTTTGAAAACCTGCAAGTTATTAGGTGTATGCATGAGTTTGCTAAATTTGGCTTATCTCAAGAAAGCCAGATGAGAAAGAAGAGGGGATTGGAAGACTATCTTCCTTACTATAGACTTGTGTTCTGTCCTTGGTGGAGAAGTAAAGGAGGATGAATAGAGCAGTCAGAGTGTGACCAAGAACAGGAAATAGGAAGAAAAAACAACAACAACAACAAAAACAACCTAATGTCCCTATCTATAAAATGGGCATAATAAGAGCATCTTCCATGAAGAGGGTTAACTGAGGTTAATACATGTAAACAGCTCAGGACCTCCACGGGTGTTCAATTATGTCGGCAAGTGACTGACTTAAATTCAGTAAGATGGCTTGAAGTGACTGTTGTTGACTAGAGACAGTATATGCTCAAAGGAATATTGCCTGAGTATTTTGTGCTGAGTATTTTGCACGCAATTTCTCAGTTGATCCTCTTATCAACTTCCTGAAGACTAAGTGTCCCTTATTCAAAGGAAACAGAAATGTTTCAGATTTGGGATTTTTTTTCCCCTCCGGTTTTGGAATATTTTTATAGTTAACAGTTGAGCATCCCTAATCTGAAAACCCAAAGTCCCAAATGCTCTGTCTCATTTTTGATTTCAGATTTTTAACTTGGGGATGGTTGACCTGTAGTATTTTTCATATTTTACAGATAAGAAAGACTCATGGAGGTGAAATGACTTGGGGCTCACAGCCAGACGGCGTAGCACTGGATTCAGATTCAGCCTCCCAGCTCCACAGTCACGTGGAGTTCCACTGGGTGCACTTGTGGTGAAGTCAGGGAATTCAGAGGAAGCTTCCAACATCTTGCTCCAAAGACCATCATGTGGGTGGGCAGGACCCTCCAGGCACAGTCTGTCTCAGCCCAAATCCATCTCTGATGTTTCCCTTCTTCTTTTCAGATTGCAAAAACTCCTTTCAAATTGCAAGGAAGAAAGTCCACAGAAAAGCACCTTCCACTAGCTGGGCCTCTCTTCCCATGTCATGGCCAGAGGTTGGCAGTGTCCCCTCTGGCCAGTTCCCCAGGAGCAGAGTTGCCCATCTGATTTTTTTTTTTTTTTTTTTTGTCTAAACACCTGTCTCTCCAGGCAGTTCCCCTCTCCTCCCCATCCCCCAGCTTCCTGAAGGCATTTTCCTCTCAACTTTGGGACCTGAACACCCCCCGCCTGCCCCCGCTGAACCAGGCAGGAGTGCAGGGTGTGGGGAGAGGGAGGAGGGAGGAGGGATCAGAGTGGTTCTTGTCACCTGCTTATCATATGGGGTTCCGGGACAGAGAATAAAAAACTGCAGGCCTGGGTGTCCTGAGCCTGCAGCTCCAATATTCTGGGTTTGGGCCAGTCCCTAGCAGAAGCAAAACACATGTACCAATACCAAGAGTTCCAAGAAGACCAGCACCCTGAGAGGACTGCCTGCCTGCCTCACTTTGATGAGGGTTTCTCTTCACTGAAAAATTTACAAAGGACTTATTTMAAAATGCTATGTGGTGAAAGGTCAGGTGTCCCCCCCAGAGAAGCTACTTCCTCCCACAGTGAAAACAACAATGACTAATCCAGCTTGACTGGAATATTTTCTCAGCCTATAAGCACCTATGATGTGCCATGTGTATATCTGCACTAAGTACCCTGCCATGTAAGCTCTTGACATGCAGGACAACCCCAAAGGGCAGGTCCTGTCATCATCTCTATTTTGTAGATGAGATATAATGAGGCTCAGACAGGACTTGCCCAGAATTACACAGCTAGTAGAGGGCAGAACAGAAAATTGAAGTTGGCACTCTCAGGTGCATCATGACCTGGGCAGGTTGCTTCTCTCCAAGCCTCAGTTTCCTCAACTGTAAAATAAGGATTACTTCACAGGGTTTTTCTGAGGATTAGATGAGAGGATGCATGTCAAGTATTTAGCAAAGCCTTAGTACCTAGTGTTCAAAAAGGCTAGTTACTATTAAGAGGACAAGACTGAAATTGGAACTCAAGTCTCCCAGACTTCAGACACAGCTTCTATAGCCAGTGCACATGACCAAGCCTTGTGACTCCCTAGTCTCCAGGCCCAATGCCCAAGTTGTGCCCCTGTGGTCCATCCTGGGAATACTTTCTGAAAGCTAGAGGATTTCACAGGCTCTTACCTGGAACTCCTAATAATTACACAATGACCATCCTTATGTGAAACGTGGGGTAGGTATGGGTGGGTGAATTGCTCAGGTTGTCTTAATAGCATGTGACCAGAGCTGGCACCACCCTCTGCTCAGCTGGCTAACAGTCTTAGAGTTGAAGGGCAGGAGGGAGAGAGTCAAGAGATTCCCAGGAAAAGACCCTTGGGTGGAGGGGGAACTCGATAGGATGCCTGAGGAGCAGAAGCATAGCTCCTGCCACATGGCCTGGTACTATCCCAGTCGACCTGCCCCAGCTCCTCTCACGACTGACTTTGCCCTGCCTCTTGCTCCTCCTTAGTGGCCTGCCAACATCAGGATGAATGTGTCAGCTTCCATGATCCTGTATCCCAGAAAACCCAGATCTTCTCTGAGACGTGGTCTCTGCAGAAAACAGTATTAATGGTCTCTAGTACCTGAAAAATGTCAATGCTTGCTATACCCCATTGAGCCACCTCTTTCTAACTTATACCAAAGAACCCATATGCATTCGGCAGCCCTGAGGGGATTCAGACCTGTATATAACATACTGCTTCACAAACAGGGATTCACTCTTGGACTCTAGGTTAAGAAGTCCTAAACTATCAAATCAATCCTTTTCTCTTACTATTGACTGCTTGTATCTGAACCACACTTAAGGTGTCTAAGCAAAACACCTTTTTCTGCAGTTGTTTCAGAACATCTATTTGACACCCTGCCCAGCTCCAAGGTCAGGGGCCAGCTTGGTGGGTAAGAAACTCACCTTGGTTAAGTAAGAAGCGCAACCAGATGATCAACAAGAACAGCAGCAAACCCACGGGCAGGCAGAGCCAGAACACCAGGAAAGAGAATGTGAGGTTATTCACCAGGGGCACCAGAGGGTACTTCATGGTGCATGAGAGTCTATGCTGGCCARCCTGGGGGGCTGGCAGGGCTGCCCCTGGGACCTGGCAGGCTGGGGCCATGCTGTGCTCAATCCAATTGTGACTGAGCGGTGATGTAACAAGGAAGTCACAGTGTCCTTTAGGCTGAGCCTTCGGGAAGAAGCCCTAAGGGCTGGTTTGGCAGCCTGGTAGGAACCGGACAGTGAGACAGTCTGGCTGAGAATAGAAGCCTGCCTTCCAGGCCTGCAGGCTGGGTTGAATCCCAGTTTGGCAGCTACTGGGTCCATGTGACAACACTCTGATCCTTTTTTAAAATTAGATGGGAGTGAATAATTCTAAGTTAGAAAACTAGATGATGTGACAAAAAACCAGCCACAGGTGGGTGATCACACATCTGGAGGTACAGATCCCATCAGGATCCAGCCAGGTCCCCAGGTCCCATCTTCCAATTGCACATGCACACACCCACACTGAGGGCATGGGGGATGGTGGCAGATTGAGAGAGCTTAATATCTTGTGCGGCAAACAGCTGTAGGCGCTCCRGCCAATCACTACTACATGGGAAATGCAGGCCCAGCATTTCCCTTTTCCATGAAAACAAAAAGTCTATATTTTATTTGAAATCTCCCAAATTTAAAATGTTGGATCAACCTTGTTAAAACCTCGACTAAATAAAATCTGTCAAGCTGGATTAGGTCACTGGGATGCCATTTAAAAACTTTGGCCCCTGAATAAAGGGGATTTATGTGGAAGCTTTTGCACTTGTCCCTGTTAGGGTTTTCAGGGAGACTTYTAAGGCTCGTTCCCTTATCAAGTGCCCTTCTTATCTTCTTCCGCCTCTTTGTTGTTTATCTATTTGTGAAGTATTTAATAAATCTGACTGTGGCAGAAGGAGGCGCTGGGCTTCCCAGGACTCATCAGCCCCCAGGACAGGGGGAGGGACTGTGGATAGATTGGCAGCCTGGGCAGAAAGTCTGGGACATGGGACAATCCATTCAGAATTGGCTGGTGTGTAGTCCTCTTCAAGAGGGTCCACGGAGCACCCACTCAGTCACTACCAGCATGGAAGGTACTTATTAAACACACCAATTCCTAGGTGCAAATCACCCACTGAGTCTGAACTTGGTATCAACACACCAAGCCCAGAGTGATCCTGAGTCAGACTTGGAGACCACAAGCATTTCATGGCTCAAGAGCAGAGGTTTGAAAGTCAGGCAGAGTCATTTGAGGCTGAGAAGTGGGACATAGACATATGGAGTGACATGGGGGAGATGTGGAAGAAGATGCCAGTCCAGAAAGAAAGGAAACCAGTCCAGCCATAGGGAAAAAAAATAGAGCAGGGGAGGGGAGAGATGGTGCTTGGAGGGCCAATGGTTTAGAGGGAGCTCAGCCTTACTGTGGGATGACAATTCCCCAAAAGAGGTCTGAGAAAATGGTATTTGAACATGCATCCAAGAGCAGAGCCCAGACAGGCTGTGCCTGGATGCAAGATCAGAAGCAGGGTGGTCGGGGCTGGGGTGATTCTAGGCCCACACCTCTAAAGAGGGTGGGTCAGAGAGCCAAGCAGCCAAGTTCAGAGGGACTTAACACACGTCTGGCTATGAAATCTTCCCAGACAACAAAATAGGGGCCACTGTATAGTCAGCTTTCCTGGCTACCAATTCAGACAGAAGTCCTGTGGTAGGACGGCAGAGCAGGGCAGCTTGGGGAATCTGTGCTGTTGGGGCAGCTATGGCCAGAGGAATGTACCATAAGCCTCTAATGGTGAGATCTAGACAATGAGGCACTAATCTGACCTCATGGAACCCTGCAGCCAACCCTGTGTGAAGGAGAAATGGGGGCAGGGGAAGACCTTCTGTGTCTTCCCTGTTTCCAGATTGCCCAGCCCTGACAGAGCTCAGATTTTTCTGCATGTAGAATATCCCAGGACTGAGAGACATCCACCTTCAGCAAATCCTGGCCTCTCAGCAATAGAAGACACTTCCATCATAGACAGCCAAGTGCTTTTCTTTTAAAACTAATCTGAGTCATTCACAAAACTCTACTTAAACCAAGGTTGAAAGTCCACACATCTAAATTATGAAGGGCTATCAAAGACAAGCAGACCCCCTGGAAAGAGTAAAATTACACAAGACCCCAGCCTGTAACCAAAAGCACACACAGTTATTAGATAAGAATCTCCTTAAAATTTAATTAACTAAATGTATTACATTCAGTATTCCATGGATTTCTTCTGGACAAAGATCGGCATAAATACAAACAGACCTCTAGACCTTCTTCCCTAGCTGACGAAGATCAAACACAGGAGGCGAGGGGACACGGGTACACCTTTATATTTACATCTCGCCTTTACTTTACAGTTCAGTGCCAGAAGTATTTACAGAAAATACAATAAGAAAAAGATCATGTCTTGGCAACATACCGAAATTCATACAAATYGTATATATGGTTTCAAGCAAATAATGATACTGCTTAGTTTTTAGCCACGACTGCCAAGCCCTTCAGAAAAAGATGTCTTGGTCACTGCAGGAGACAAGGACTTGGGAAACYTGGTTTGCTTCAACAAATATTTATTGGGCGCCTACTATATGCAAGGCACTGTGGAATCCCAAATTACACCTTTTCCCCTCACCATTAAAAAATGAAAAGTGTCTGAAGAACAAGGGTCAATATTCTGAGAAGAACACCACACAATGCATGGCTTTGTTAGCTGCTGAGAGACCATGGTCTGACTCCACACCATCCAAAGGATCCCTCCAATCTCTCCACCTCAGGAAGAGGATGTCGGGAGCCCTGAAGCAGACCAGCTGGCTCCAATATCACGTTTGTGTAAACATACACATCAATCTTTTTAGGAAGCTATAATCTGAATGGGTCTTACAATGCTGAATGAGAATTATCACCAGCAGGAGTGTCCAGTATTTATGTCAACATCTACCAAAAAACAGGTCTTTGCAAAAGACTGACTCTCGCTTTAGGTGAAGCACTACTTTTCAACAGAAATAAATACTTTCAAAGACTGTCTCTAGAAATCAGTCTGCAGAGCCTGACAAATATTTCCCCAGCACGTGTAAGAAGGAACTGTTCATGAACACCTTGTACACACAACTGGTGGGCAACTGACATTACTGGCCAAAGGCATAGGTATTTTGTATACATAAATGAGAGCAGAGAAGGACTGTCTTGAAAAARAGGACCTGGAAGCCAAGGAAAACACCAGTGTGTGTGTGTGGCTAGGGAGGGGAACAGCTCTTGCCTTGTATTATTCCAAAGGACAGGAGAGGGTCTTAGGAGAAAGCCCTGGATGAAAGGGAGAGGTGGCTAGACATGGAAAGGGTTAGAAAGGTAAGACCCCTCCTTTGTCCTTATGCTCCCAAAGAGGAGCAAAGCCCCCACCTTCCTGAAACTTCAGAAGGGAGCATGAGGAGTGACTCACTTGTCTCTTGGGCAGTGCTTTCTTCTTCCCAGAATGCCACATGCCATCCACCCCCAGCACATGCAGCCAAAGTGGACTACTAAAGATTATTACCAGGTATTAAATATGTTCCTCTGGCAATATTCTACTCAAAATGATTTTTTTTTTGGGGGGGGGTACCAGGGATTGAACTCAGGGGCACTCGACTACTGAGCCACACACATCCCCAGCCCTATTTTGTACTTTAGAGACAGGATTTCACTGAGTTGCTTAGTACCTCACCTTTGCCAAGGCTGGCTTTGAACTCGTGATCCTCCTGTCTCAACCTCCCAAGTTGCTGGGATTACAGGTGTGCATCACCACGCCCGGCTCAAAGTGATTTTTAATACAGGCAATTGGGTGACCTTAGTGACCATGAATCCCAAGTCATACTAGTGAAAGGTCCAAGGGTTCATACCACACTCCCTTTTTAGACAGATGAAATTTTGAGCAGAAGGAACCAGCACTTGGTGAGGTATGTGGATCAGATAGTATGTTGGCTCTGTATACCCCGGTGGGGGGAAGGTCACAACTCCTTCCCTGGGGGACCACCAAGTCTCCCAGACTGCAAAATGTATTCACTTGCCAAAATCATTAGAATTCTAAAGAGTGGCCAGAAACTAGAGCTATCTAAAGAATCGGCAAGTCCATCCTCAACACACACATACTGTATATTGTTCTGACATTTAAACTATGACAAAAATAAAAGATTTATCTGAAGAATCACACTGAGGAAGTACATCAACATCAGTTATTTTTAACCTCTGGAATGTTCTAAGTTACACACTCATTTATGGCCTTCTTTGTTCACTTCAACCAGAACAAGGGATCATTTTCCCATGAAATATCAATCTGATATTTCCTTTAAAGTTATTAAGCCTTACCTTATTCTTGCTGGAGCTACTAAATCATTTTTAGAGTATAAATCACTAAATCATTATCACACATTCCTCCCCTCCTCCCATAACATCTGGAAACATCAACTTATTGCCCAGCTCAAAAAGAAAACCAATTATTAAATAATATTATACCCTGAATAGAAACTAGAATAATAGAAGGAGGAGGGGAAGGGTAACTTTACCTGAGCTTACAAAAAGGAAGAAAAGGGTGTGGCCAACTTGTGACCAAGAGTTGCTATGCCCACATTTCTTGCTCAGAGGTGGCAAAATGCATACTTCTGGGTTAATTGTCTGGCAAGGAATTAGGTCCTCCACTACCCCTGACCCTCTAAGAAAATGACTGAAACACCAAGCCCAACAGGCCAGTGTAGCCCTGACCTACAGAACCTAATAACATTAGAGTGCAAGTGGAAAAACATCCTTGAACAACTCTGATCACTATTCTTTGTACTTCAAATGTCACTTATTTTTCTTCATACAAAACAATCTTGCTAAAGAAGAAAGCACACACGAAAAAAGGAGAAATGAATGGTATATACTATAGCACTATAACAGGAATCCTTGTAAGGATGGTCTGCATCTGGGTTTGRCCACCTCCAAAGTTTTATCCCTGGCAGAAAAGTAGCAGCGAGGTAACAGAAATATTTCCAATACCCTGGCAGGGATTTGCTGGACCTTTAGCTGCAAAGTCCTGACAGCAAGACAGCCATTTTTAACAGCATCTGCCCAAGAAGGTAGCCACTAACATTTGTCAATCATGATGTAATCCACGAGCTTTCCAGAAGAGACCTGAAGTAGTAGCATTAAGAGGCTACTTCCTGACCCCAAATGAGAATCCTTCATCAACTATTACAGTTTGCTTCTTGGTCCTGAAATAAGAGATAATGGATGAAACTCAATAATTTTCAACCCTGTTGTGAATTTATATTTCTTSATATGTAATCAAGAATCACAAATATTTAAGCTGTTATTTTGTCGCCAAGCTGGAGACAAATAATGGAGAGTAGAGGCATCACTGCTGTCTGACAGCTTTGAAACCTCACAAACTTCATTATTATCTCCATTAGAGGACAAGGCTGAGCCTCCATTGTAATCTGTCCACTCAGGAACTGAGGCCTTCAGATAGATCTGTGTAGTGATGAACATGGCAGCTTGTTTAAATATGGAGAGAAAATATGGAATATGTTAATGTCAGACTTCTTTTCTGAGCCAAAGACATTTATGTTCTTTTCTTTTTGTCAGTTTGACAGTTGGATGACAAATGGACCTACAAGTGAGCAGAAGGCTGAGACTCCTTTCCTTCTCCTCCATTCTGTCAGCACAAGCCTGTAAGTGTCCTGGAAGATTGTGAGACAGATTTTGATTTTGAATACAACCTCCTAAAAAGTGAGGTATAAAACTATCTTCAACTTCTAATTTGCAAATTTGTTGATACTACCAATACATGTGTTTAACTGAGATGCATTAAAAACCTTTCTCCTCAAAAGGCTTATATTTAACTAAAATTGTCACTTTTAAAAGAAAGTTTATGGCTAAAATGTTTATCGTCATTACCAGCAGGAATATGATTGTGTCTGAAAGCCCATTTCACTAGAAAGCCAAAAGTCTTCTATCCAATGGGTTTACAATGTGTTTCTTCTATTCCGGTGATTAAACAGCAAGCTCTTGGGGAGTGATTTGTTTATTTTTACAGTGATCACCTATCAAACTGTCTTGCTTTGATATTACAGTCCCCACACTGGAGTTCAACTGTCCTAGACAGACAGTGGTCTAAGAACTGCAGCTCTTGAGTCCAACCTCCTGGAAAAGTGAAGTATAAAACTCTGGCTCCAACTGCTTGTTTCGGTACTTGTTGACGATGTCGGTGATTTTCTGTTTCCGACGGACATGTGGTGGGCTGTAGGAATCACTTTCCAGTCTCTTTCTTCTACAAATGTTTATTACAGTCTGCCTCACCAGAAAGCCTTGAAAATAGAAGGTAAAATAATTGTCAATAGCCAGTTRTCAGGTGACCTCTCAGAGGACCTGTCCCTCCTCCTCACTACCTCATTCCATTCGCATAACTTCCCATCCCAGAGAGACAGGCACAGCACTAAGAACAAACCAGCACAAGAATGACAATGAGGAGGGAACGCAGAATCAAAATCTGGTTTGACAATCCATTTCCTGCCCTGGCTTGCAAACAGATATCTTCCTTGACTAATATTCAAAGTTTGTGAAGTCCCATTTGTACTTACTAAAGACAGTTTAAAACAGAATAAAACGTGCTTCCTTTTTAACAAGAACAGTAGCATTTTCTACATRTAGACTCTAGAAAGTAATAGTATCTTTTCCTTATTTTTACTACTTTTTGGTTTATAAAAGTGTTAAAAGAGCTGGGTATGATGGTGCATGCGTGTAATCCCAGAGGCTCTGGAGGCAGAGACAGGAGGATTGAGAGTTCAAAGCTAGCCTTAGCAATGATAAGGCGCTAAGCAACTCAGTGAGACCTTGTCTCTAAATAAAATACAAAATAGGGCTGCAGATGTGGCTCAGWGGTTGAGTGCCCCTGACTTCAATCCCCAGTACCAAAAAAAGTTTTAAAAGAACGAAGGAAAGAAACCTCAGTCCTTCAACGCACATGAAGACCTTACCGAGTGCTCGCCGGCTGACTATCATCCCATCCACAAGAGGGATGACCATGTTAAATTTTCCAGTGGCTCCTTGGATTTTTATCCGGAACAATCCAGTGTTTAAAGGGTGTATGAAGATAACTGGAACTTCTTTTTCAAGATTTGTAGATCTTAAGAAAAGAAAAGTCTTTTCAGCTCAGACACATAAGAACTAAAGTCCCCCATATGTAGCATCAGAACAGCCCGCATCTCCTATGCTGTTGCTGACAATCCTCTTTCTGGGAGGCCATATTGCTGTATCCATAACACTTAGCTCTAAGTGCTCATTTCTGGAGTCAGGCTTTTTATGTCAACAAAGGTTGAGAAGAATGCTTAGAAAACCACTGGGGRGACAAGATAGAAAAGCCAAGAATCTATTGTAGGAAGCTGCGAATCCAGCAGCAAGCTATGGGACTTCTATTTAGCTCTCCCTTTTGTAGGGAACATAATGTACTAGCCAGAGTGCAGGGAATTCCAGCACAGTGGAGGATATACCTCAGAGCAAATGAGGAACAGCTGAAGCTCAGTGTGGAAATTCTGGAAGTCAAGAGAAGAGGTTGGGAGGGTTATCAGTCTGAACTGGTGGCAAGTGGCCACTTCAGCTGAGGTGATAAATGGCCACATCTTGGCAGGGCCAAAGCCGTTAGAGCACTAACTGACTGGCAGATGCTAAGGTCAGCAACTGCACCTCTGAATGAGTAAGTCACATATCACACATCATGGATAGGCCAACCCATCTGGAGGTACTCATATTATTATGTGATGCTCTAAGCTGGGGGCTTTTTTCTTTATAACACATTTTCTTTCTATAGAGGCAAAGTGAGTTTAGCAAAAGAAATACTGAGTTAATTTTTCAAAACATTTAAAAAATAATAAATACTAGAGTAATTCTGCCCCCAAACTGAATTCTAAACTTTGCTAATCTACCAATAAAATACAAATTTTACAGCCATATCTTATTACAACATTTTTTTAAGAGAGAGAGAGAGAGAGAGAGAGAGAGAGAGAGAGAGAGAGAGAATTTTTTAATATATATATATTTTTTTTTTTAGTTTTCGGCAAACACAACATCTTTGTTGTATGTGGTGCTGAGGATCGAACCCAGGCCGCACGCATGCCAGGCGAGCGCACCACTGCCCGAGCCACATCCCCAGCCCCTTATTAAAACTTTTGACCTAAAAAGAATAAAACCACAAAACAGTGTAAGTCAGTTAAAGGTCTATTTCCAACTAGCTATAGAAATGCCATCCTTATGACAACTATCCCATAGTCTCTTCAAGAAGTCACCATCATGAAGAATAAAAAGGAGGTTGTTTCAGCGTAAAAGAGATGGAAGGAGTTAACACCAGATGCATAGTCGTGGAATGAATTCTGAATTGAATAAACCAGTTGTAAAGAAATTTTTAGGGAATGTGGAGAAATGTGAGTATTATTAACTTTATTATTGGGATAATGTTATCATTAGCTATCTGAAAAGTGTTTTTAAGGAATACATATTGATATATTTAGAATGTTATGAAATCTGTAATTTGTTTAAGATTACTTCAACATGAAAATCATGAAACTTTTAAGAATGACTTCCTTTTTTAGAAAAAAAAAATTAAATGATAGTGTTAAAATAAACTACTTGGGAAGGTGAGAGAGGATTGCCAAGTTAGAGACCAGAACAAGCAACTGTCTCACTGGGACCCTRTCTCAAAATAAAAAATAAAAAGGGTTGAGGATATAGTTCAAGCATAGAGTACCCCTGGGTTTAATTTCCAATACCACAAACAAACAAATGAACAAACATCTACAGATTTTCTTCAATAATAATCTAACAATGTTAGAATAAGTTCATCTTACATGCAATTAGTATCAGATGATGTAAACAGAAGGAACTGAAGTTAAAATACTAAGTTTGGGGACAGCTCTGTGATGTAGAGATGAGATTAGCAACTGAGGGAAAGGCCTGGGTTTGGATCCCTTCTTCTGCATTTACTGAGTGCATGGGGCTGAGGAATTACCTCTATGGGCATATTTTATCCTACTGGTAAAACAGGGATGATAATTAGAACTTGGAGTTGTAAACCAAAAACCAACAAGCAAAATGTCTTGAAAATTATAAAGATCAAACAACACGTTATTATCTTAGAATCATATTCTCTTCTTATTCTTTTTGTAAATGGGCAGGTAAGACAGAAATTTTAACATAATAACAAAATTAGTATTACATTTTACTTCAAAATACTTTCCTGTTAAATAGCTCATTAGATTAGGATATTTTAACTGCTATTATCCAGAATGATTATTTTTCCAATTTAACTCCATCATTCCTGTCTTAATTATTAACAGTCTTCATTAATACTTTAAGAATTTAACCTTTATTTTATTTATTTGTTTTTATGCGGTGCTGAGGATCAAACCCAAGTCCTCAACCATGCTGGGCAAGTGCTCTGTAACCCCAACCCCTTCATTAATACTTAATTGCTGCCTCTTTTCCATTTTTCCTTTTACTACAGGCAAATGTAAAACAGGAATTAATTATTTTTTTTTATTTTTTATTTTTTTAGTTTTTTTTATTGTTGGTTGTTCAAAACATTACATAGTTCTTGATATATCATATTTCACACTTTGATTCAAGTGGGTTATGAACTCCCATTTTTACCCCGTACACAGATTGCAGAATCACATCAGTTACACTTCCATTGATTTACATATTGCCATACTAGTGTCTGTTGAATTCTGCTGCCTTTCCTATCCTCTACTATCCCCCCTCCCCTCCCCTCCCCTCTTCTCTCTCTACCCCCTCTACTGTAATTCATTTCTCTCCCTTGTATTATTTTTTAGGAATTAATTATATTATTTAAAAATTCAGTGCTCAACATCACTGATTATCAGGGAAACTCAAATTAAAACCACAATGAAATATCACTTCATACCAGTTAGAATGACCATTTAAAAGAACAAATAAACAAGGCTAAGTGTGGTGATGATATAGGGAATAAGGAATCCGTGTACACTATTAATGGGAATGTAAATTAATGCAGCCACTATGGAAATCATTAAGGCAATTCCTCAAAAAATTAAAAACAGAACTACCATGTGAACCAGCAATCCTGCTTCTGGATATATAAGAGGACCTCAAAGCGGTTTATTTGCACTTGCATGTTCATTGCAGCATTATTCCCAACAGCCAAGACATGGAAGCACCTTGGATGTCCTCAAGAGATGAATGGATTAAGAATATACCACATATATATACAACAGAATATTTTTCAGCTTTAAAAAGAAAGAAATTCTGCCAGTTATAGTAACATGGATGAATCTGGAGAACATTATGCCAAGTGAAATAAACCAGCCAATCAAAAGACAAATTTTACATGACACCACTTACATGATGAATCTAAAATAATCAAATCAATAAAAGAGAGTAGAATGGGGATGGAGAGAGAGGGAACAGGGATATTAATGAAATGGTAAAACGTTTCCATCATGCAGGATAAATAAGTCCTAGAAATCAACTGTACAATACAGTGGCTAAAGTTAACTATACTGAATTGTTTACTTAAATTTTTGCTTAATGGGTAGGTCTTATGTTAAGTGTTCTTATCACAAAATAATAACAACAATTATAATAAATAAAAAGGCAGGAGAAAACTTTGAAGATGATGAATGCTTACAGCATAGATTGTGAGGATGGTTTCATGCATACTTATCTCCAAGCTCATTAAATAAAACAAATTTAAAATGTGTACAACTTTTTATGTATCATTCATACCTCAATAAAGTGTTTTTTAAAAATTCTCACAAATTTGATAACCTTGTGCATGTATGTACAAACTTTTGATTCTTTATTTTTATTTTTTGCCTTTAATCTTTTTGTTTTATAATTCCTTCTTTAAAAAAATCTCTTTTTAGTTGTTGATGGACCTTTATTTTATTTGCTTATTTAATGTGGTGCTAGGAATCCAATGCAGTGCCTCACGTACAAGGCAAGCACTCTACTGCTGAGCTATAACTCCAGGCCCTATAATTCCTTCTTTATTAAGCTACAACTGACATAAAAACAGACATGCTGATAAGCTTCAAGCAAATAAAAAAAAATGTACCTCAGAGAAGTGCTACTATTTGCAGTAGTTTCCACACCAGTACTGATCTCTGTCATCAGATCTGAAAGAGGAAAATTTTCTGCAAAGAAATAATAACATTAAAATTAATATCCCTCTCATTTTCCCCAAAGAAGAAATCCAATTTTCTAATCTCTTTACATAGGCAGACAACAAATATACAGACCATGCTCTCCTATGTAATCCTAATGATTCCCCTAGATGGAAAAAAAAAAAACCAAACAACCCTTCCTCAAGAAATACTTTAGTTAAGTTCATCTAAAGTGAAGGATTTTCAGAACATGATCCATGGTCTGTGAGGGTTTGGCTGGAAAGCAACTACTGTAGTTTCCCACAAACTCTGGGATTCTAAGGTAAGTATGCATTTCTACCGCTCTCATGTTGCTTACATAAAAACAAAAACAAAAAAAATCCGTAGTAGGACACTTAAAGACAAATTAACCTTTATATTAAAACTAGACAGAGCACATGGAAATATTGTGTATGAAATCCTTCCCCTTCCCTTCTCCAGAGGTCCTGGGAAGATTGGGACATTAACTCTGATACAAATAGGAATAGTTAAAAGTTTTCTATCAACTAGTCTCATAGAATCTTTACAACTGTGAAATAAGTGGCATGATTATCTCCATTTTACAGATGAACAATCTCAAAGTTAATGCAACTAAGCAGTGGAGATGAGACACAAATCCAGGCTTGCTGGATTCTAATCCCTGCTCTTGGCCACTACAACATGCCTCTGCTCCCACTTCCTTCAGACATTTGGCAGGTCACTGTCATTCTGTTATTTTATTTATGGACAACGTCCTTATACAATACCTATATCATCATAGCGTTCTACCCAGACCACAGAAACTCTTGTCTCAGGTCCAAGAGGAGGCACAGGGCGACCCTGAGGCAGCTTCTTCATTCTGGAACTGGGACTGAGCTATATGAAGAAGAGGAGAGAAAAAGTGCAGACTTCATAAAACTACCCAGTCATACATTTATGTAAGATATTCAGCTTACAATGTAAGTATCAGGTCATGAAATCACTTCAGGAAAAAAAATGCAAAATACATTTGCCAGAAAACACTTCTTTGGCTTCTTTTTTTTTTTTTTTTTTTTTTTTTTTATCAGTCTTAACCTAGAAAGTGGAAATGAAGTCCTGAAATTATCAAAGGAAAAGAGACAAGGAATACTGAACAATTTTAGTTTGCATACCTACCTTATTGCTAATTTTGCTATGTATTAAAGGGGGCTTAAAGGGATCTGAGTCTATATTATAACCAGAAAAAGGATGCTTTCTCCATCAGAGCAGTATCACTACTTTGCCTGGAAACACTAAAATGTCCCATATCAGCAAGTTATTCCTAGTTTTCAGACCAGATGTTTCCTAGCAATTTAGGCCTAATCCTTTTCCTTATCGGCAAAAAGAATTCTTGGGACTTTCCTATCAAGAACAATGTACTCTGGCTTTCCTGCCACCCAACTGGCTTTACATTTCTCTCCAAGGCTAATAGGACTATGGGGCTCTCCCGTGGCCAAACTGGCATTCTGAGCTAACCCACTGTTAGGGCATGCAGCAAGCTGGTTGTGCTAAAGCCCTATACCAAGTCCACATATAGAAAAGGGAAATCCCATACGTAAGTTAAGTTTTAAAATTTAAACTGTTTTATTAGCACAGAAATATGTCTTCACCAAATGGCCAGAGTTCATGGCAAGCCCCCCAGATTTGTGCTTCTACTCTGCATTCACAGAAAATGTTCCAAGATTTCTCCCAAACCAATCCAGTACATTCAGGGACTATTAGCAGCATGGCATTTAATTTTCTTTAATTTTCTCCATTTCTGATCTCTAACCCTAGATATAAAGGGCTTCTGAGAGGTCAGGTCTGTGTGGGTCATCTACCATTTGGCTAACTCAAAATAACCTTAATTACACCCACAAAATCCCTTTGTCAAGTAATGCACCTTGATTATGGGATATCCCATCATATTCACAGGTTCCACTACACATAAGGGCAGGACATTCTACAAGGGCAATGGTCACTTGAGGTCATCTTAAAATCTTCCCCAACATACTACACTCATTCAATAGTTCTAACAGATGCAAAAAATACATTCTTTGGGCTGGAGTTGTGGTTCCAGAGGTAGAGTGCTCACCTAGCATGAGTGAGGTAYTGGGTTCGATCCTTAGCACTACATAAAGTAAAATAAAGACATTGTGTCCAMCTATAACTAAAAAATAAATATTTTTTAAAAATAGATTCTTTTAACACTTTCTACATACATGATCATGTCATCTGCAGTACATGTAGTTTCACTTCTTGTTTTCCAATTTTTATGCATTCTATTTCTTTTTCTAGACTTATTTCTCTGTATAAGACCCTTAAACAGAAATCATAGGAACTTGCCTTACCTGTCCTTCATCTCAGRGGGAAAAGCATTCAAAAATAATGTACAATGTGTTAAGTATAATGTTAGCTGTAGGTTCTTAGTCAATGCTCCGAATCAGGTTAAGGAAGCTTGCTTCTATTAATAGTTCGCTGAGAAATTTTCTCATAAATGGGTGATACTGTTTTGTTAGCTGCTTTTCTGTGTTTATTGAAATAACCATTTGATTTTCCTTTTTTGAGTTTGTAAGTAGTCTAAAGTGTAAATGGTAAATAAATACATGGTGCTTTAAGAGTCATCATTCTCTGGGTTTGAAGGCTGAACTGCAATGGCATTCAGAAAATGAGTACTCCGGMAGCTAACCTTGATATTTGCTCAGGCTGCCACACTTTACTATCACTTGATCCTCTCAAAATTGTACTCTGGAAAACTTTAAAACTCTGGATATGCAAAATCAAGACTGGTACCTCAGGGAGTCTACTATATAACTTGATGGTTTTTCCTAAATCAATTTTAAAGGTAGGACCCCTCCCATATTCCTTTTAAATCAGATGCCTATGTTGACAATTTTCACCATGGAAGGAGCCAAACTAAAATCCTGTAAAACTGCAGAATAACTTCAGTCAAGTTTATACTTCTTTCATCTTTTAAATTAATTGTTCTAAATTAATCTTCCTGTACTCATGATCTGGTCCTATACTCTTGCTACCACTTACTTGGTCATTTTTCAGTAAAAATTAAGAGATTACATGAGGGAAAATATAGAAGGAAATAACATCTGTTGGAAAAGAAAGAAAAAGTATAGAAACAAAAACCTCTTTTATTTTAGCAGGGGCTGTTGTACCACACACAGTGTATTTATTCACATACTGCAATCTTCCCTTGTCTACAGGGGATATGTTCAAAACCTCCCTAGCCAGTGGATGCCTGAAACCAGTTAGTACTGATTGCTACACATACTATGTTTTTCCTATACACTCATAACATGATAAAGTTCAGTTTATAAATTAGGACACTGAGTTATTAACAATAACTAATAATAAAATAGAATAATTATAATATACAATAATAAAATCTGTATAAATATATTCTCTCTCTCACAAGATAACATTATATTATATCCATATCCTTCTTTCTGTGATGATGTAAGATGATATAGTACCAACATGATGAGAGGAACAAAAGTAGTATGATGTAGCATTAAGTTCCTTTGTAAGAGTTACTTGAACACAAGAATTGCAATGCCCCAATGCCATGACCAAGAATACTAACAGATAGCATATGCAGTGTAGATATGCTGTCCAAAAGGATGGGTCACCTCCTGTGCAGGATAAAGTAGGACCACATGAGAAATCACCAAGCTATACAGAATAGTGTATAATTTAAAACTTATGAACGATTTATTTTTAGAACTTTCCATTTAATATTTTGGAACTTGGTTGAACATGGCCAACAAATTGGTAGAAAGTGAAATAGCAGGGGCTGAGGTTTTGACTTAGTGGTAGAGCACTTGCCTGGAATGTGTGGGGCACTGGGTTCAATCCTCAGCACCACCTAAAAATGAATACAAGTATTGTGTCCATCTACAACTAAAAAAAGTATTTTTAAAAAAGTGAGATAGCAGATAAGCAGGACTGCTATACTAAGTTATTCTCCAAAGTGTTGCCATTTTTATATAGTCACACTTTTTTAAATTAATGCATTATAGTTACAAATAATAGTTGGGCTTATTATGATAAAAATCAAAATTAGATTTACTCCATTTCAATCCAAAGTATCTTCCCCTTTCCCGCCTCTCCTCCTCCCTCCCTCCATTCTCTTTCCTCTATTTTTCTGGTCTTCCTTTCACTTGTTTACTTGTCTATTTTTGAGTGGTGCTTTATGTATACACACAAGGTGAAATTCACTGTATTTATACACGAAAGTAGCATAATTTTGTCAAATTCATTCCACATTTTCTCTCCTCTCCCTTTCAATTTCCTTCTATTCCATTGATCTTCCTTGTATCTTTATGATATCTGATCCTTATGATATCTGAAAGGAAACATTCAACCCTTAAGTTTGTGAATCTGGCTTATTTCATTTAGCATGATATTCTCCAGTTCCATTCATTTAGCAGCAAATGCCATAATTCCATCCTTCTTTATGATTTAAACTCCATTGTGTGTGTGTGTGTGTACCACATTTTTTTCTTCATTTTTAAAACTGGTTCTTTTATTTATTTATTTATTTATTTATAGAAAAAGGAGAAGAAGGTTTATCTGCCCATCAGCAGGAATGGGGTAATCCTATTTCCCCTGAGATTAGGGAGGGGGAGAGATTAGGGAGGAGCAGAAAAAAGAAAAAGAGAAAGAAAGGTCCATTTTAAAAATAAGTTGCAGCAACTAGTTTGTGGCTTAGTGATAAAGCTCTTGCCTAGCACATGTGAGGCACTGGGTTCGATCCTCAGCACCACATAAATATAAAATAAAGATATCATGTCCACCTAAAAATAAAAAATAATATTTTTTAAAAAATAATAAGTTGCAGTGGCACAGCAGCAAGGGCTATATTCAAAGCATAAAGTGGATATGAAAAATTGTGCTCTATATGTGTAACAAGAATTTTAATACATTCCACTGCAGTGTATTTAAAAAATAATAAAATCAATAAAAAAATAAAGTGGATATTATTATATTTCCTATCAATTTCTATATTCCATTTCTATGGAAAAATGGGTGACAACATCTCCAAACTACTTCCTGTTGAAAGAGGGAGAAGTTGGGGGAAGTAACCCAAAGCCCTTGTTCTGTATCAAGTAGGGTATGGACAGTTATGGGTAATCAGGATCAGAGAAGTTCAGAGGTCCACAGTGGCAGATGGAAGGTGACTGGGCAAGGCATTTTTATTTGTTCTTTTTAGATATACATGACAATAGAGTRTATTTTGACATACTATACACACATGGAGAATAATTTCCTATTCTTATGGTTGTACATGATGTGTAGTTACAATGGTCATGTATCCACATATAAATATAGGAAAGTTACGTCCAATTCATTTTACTACTCCCATCTACCCACCTTTCCCTTCATTCCCCTTTGTCTAATCCAATGAACTTCTACTCTTTTTTATCCCCCTTCCCCATATGGTTAGTATCTACATATGAGAGAGAACATTCAGCCTCTGGTTTTTGGGGATTGGCTTATTTCACTTAGTATGATAGTTTCCAATTCCATCCATTTACCTGCAAATGCCATAATTTCATTCTTCTTTATGGCTGAGTAATATTCCATTGTGTATATAAACCACACTTTCTTTATCCATTTATCTGTCAAAGGGCGCCCAAGTTGGTTCCATAGSTTAGCTATTATAAACTGAGCTGTTATAAACATGGATGTGTCCGTGTCACTATAGCATGCTGATTTTAAGCCCTTTGGGTATATGCTGAGGATTGGGATAACTGGGTCAAATGATGGTTTTATTCCAAATTTTCTTTTTCTTTTCTTTCTTTTTTAAATACTTTTTTTTAGTTGTAGATGGAAACACTATCTTTATTTTTTTTTGTTTATTTTTATGTGGTGTGGGGGATCGAACCCAGTGCCCGACACATGCTAAGCAAGCGCTCTACCACTGAGCCACAACCCTGTACTCCATTCCAAGTTTTCTAAGAAATTTCCATACTGCTTTCCAGAGTGTTTGCATCAATTTGCAGTCCCACCAGCAACATATGAGTGTACCTATTCCCCCACATCCTCGCCAACATTTGTTCTTACTTGTATTCTGGATGATTGTCATTCTGACTGGAGTGAGATAGAATCTTAGCATGCTTTTAATCTGCATTTCTCGAACTGCTAGAGATGTTGAACATTTTTTCATATATTTGTTAACCATTTGTATTTCTTCTTCTGTGAAGCGTCTGTTTAGCTTCTTTGCTCATTTATTGATTGGGTTATTTGTTTGGGGGTTTTTTTTTTTTTTTTGGTGTTGAGTTTTTTGAGTTCTTTATATATCCTGGAGAATAATGCTCTACCTGAGGTACAAGGTGGCAAAGATTTTCTCCCATTCTTTAGGCTCTCTCTTTCACATTATTGATTGTTTCTTTTGCTGTGAAGAAGCTTTTTTAACTTGATACCATCCCATTTATTGATTCTTTTTTTTAATATTTATTTTTTAGGTTTTTTTTTTAGGTGGACACAATATCTTTAATTTTATTTTTATGTGGTGTTGAGGATCAAACCCAGTGCTACTCGCATGCCAGGCGAGCGCACTGCCGCTTGAGCCACATCCCCAGCTCCCCATTTATTGATTCTTGATTTTACTTTTTGTGCTTTAGGAGTCTTGTTGAGGAAGTCAGTTCCTATACAACATGGTGGAGAGTTGGGCCTACATTTTCTTCTAGTAGGTGTAGGGTCTCTGGTCTGATCCCTAGCTCTTTGATCCACTGTGAGTTGGGTTTTGTGCAGGGTGAGAGGTAGAGGTTCAATTTCATTTTGTTACATATGGATTGACAGTTTTCTGAACACCATTTGTTGAAGAGACTATCTTTTCTCCAATGCATGTTTATGGTGCCTTTGTTTAGTATGAGATAACTGTATTGATGTGAGTTTCTCTGTGTCTTTTATTCTGTTCCATTGGTCTCCATGTCTATTTTGTACATCACATTTTCTTTTATCTCTTCATCTATTGACAGGTATCTGGCTGCTCCAAAACCTAGCTACTGTGAACTGTACTGCTATAAACACTGATATGGCTGTTATCACTATAGTATGCTGATTATAGTTCTTTAGAAAACACACCAAGGAGTGGGATACCTGGGTCATAAGGTGGTTCCATTGCTGGTTTGTTTGTTAGAAATCTCTACATGATCACACTTCAAAGTTGAACATTTCATGATTTAAAGATATGGAATGTTCAGCTACTGTTATACCTTTAGTGAATAATGTACAGCTACTGTTATACTTTAGTGAAAAAGGATGGGTAAAAGAAACAAACATGGCAAAATAAAGAAAAATAACAAAGGCTGTCTTAGGAATTACTTGTTGCACAGTAGAAAAAAATAATTAGGAGAATTTCATTTAAAAGATTTCAATTATTAATGAGTCAGTACTCTCCTATAATTATTCTCTAGGTTAAAGTTAGAAACTTTGCAGACATGATTCAATAATTACGCCCATTTCACCACAAATTTTGGAGAGATAGCAACAAAATGACTTACCCTCTGTGAGCAATTAAGATTGTCTGTGTGATTGGGGAAAAGCTCAAGTGTCAGGGATGGCTGTTTCAGAATTCCTGGCATAAGATCCATGTTTGAGTCACTATCCTGGTCTGAGATGTTACTTTCCAATGAATCAGCTATGGAGTAAAGAAAAAAAATCAATGATCATACTTGCTACTCCTTTGGAGCAAAAGTTTAATTATGCTAACTAGTCTACTTAAATTACTTAAACAAGCACTATTTTCTTCCACATTTTTTATTGGTGCATAAAGTTATACATATCGATGGGATCTGTGGTTACATATTTGTACATGCCCACAATATAACAATATAATTTTTTTTTTTTAATTTTATTTATTTATTTTTTTTTATTGGTCGTTCATAACATTACATAGTTCTTAATACATCATATTACACGGTTTGATTCAAGTGGATTATGAACTCCCGCTTTTACCCCGTATACAAATTGCTGTATCACATCAGTTACCCTTCCATTGATAATAACAATATAATTTGACTAATATCACTCCCCAGCACTTCCCACCTCACTCTCCTTAGTCCCTTTCCTCCACTGACCTCCCTTTGACTTTTACAAAATCCACCCCCATCTTTCTTTTCCTTTTTCCTCTCTAGCTTCTGCATATGAGAGAAAAATATACAACCCTTGACCTTCTAAGTTTGACTAATTTTGCTTAACATTATGGTCTCTAGTTCCATCCATTTTCCTGTAAACATATGGTGTTTCCTGTAAACATACTTTTTTTTTTTTTTTTTTGGTGTGTGTGGGGGACTTTACCCAGGGGAACTTAGCCATTGAGCCACATCCTTAGCCACCTTTATTTTATTTTTTATTTTGAAACAAGGTCTTTCGAGAGAGAAGATGGGAGGGGAGGGGAGGGGAGGAGGGATAGTAGAGGATAGGAAGGGCAGCAGAATACAACATACACTAGTATGGCAGTATGTAAAAAAGTGGATGTGTAACCGATGTGATTCTGCAATCTGTATACGGGGTAAAAATGGGAGTTCATAATCCACTTGAATCAAATGTATGAAATATGATATGTCAAGAGCTTTGTAATGTTTTGAACAACCAATAATAAAAAAAAAAAAAGAAAGAAAAGAAACAGGGTCTTTCTACGTTGCTTAGGACCTAAGTTGCTGAGGCTGGCTTTGAATTTGTGATCCTCCCGCCTCTCAGCCTCCCAAATCTCTGGGATTACATGTGTACCAGCCATAATTTTATTTTTTTTCAAATATTTATTTTTTAGTTATAGGTGTACACAATACTTTTATTTTATTTTTATGTGGTGCGAGGATCGAACCCAGTGCCCCATGCATGCTAGGCAAGCACTTTACCTCTGAGCCACAACCTTAGCCCCCACAATTTCATTTTTAACAAGCACTATTTTTAAAGCAAGGCTGACAAATGTTTTCTGTAGAGGATCAACATACTGATTAAATTTTATGAAAAAAAGACAAGAGCCAGGTGTGGCGGCACACGCCTATAATCCCAGCGTCTTAGGAGGCTGATGCAGGAGGATTGCAAGTTCAAAGCCAGCCTCAGCAATTTAGTGAGGCCCTAAGCAACTTAGTGAGACCCTGTCTCAAAATAAAATATAAAAAGGGTTGTGGGGGCTGGGGATGTGGCTCAAGCGGTAGCGCGCTCGTCTGGTGTGCGTGCGGCCCAGGTTTGATCCTCAGCACCACATACCAAAAACGATGTTGTGTCCACCAATAACTAAAAATAAATATTAAAAAAATTCTCTCTCTCTCTCTCCCTCTATCACTCTCTCTTTAAAAAAAAAGGGGGGCTGTGGATGTGGCTTATCAGAAAGTTATAGGAAGATAATATCTTGTATCTGTATATAATCTAATAGTTATAATGCTTTAGAAGCTAGAGAGTGCCTTAGATAATTTCAAAATCTCTTCCAATGAAATAATATTGAATATACAAATAGATACTAAAACAGAACCATGCCAAAAAATGCTCTTACTCAAGGACTCCACAGGAGAAGGAACCACAAAAGCTATTTCCGTCAGGGCATCAGCATAATACAGCACCTTCTTTTGTCCATTGAAAATGCTAGCCCCAGCATCTTCAGAGGAAACTACCTCATCTAGGAATAGGAAACACTACATTACTTCTTTGAACAGTGTGGAAAACCAATCTTTGTGCTTCATGAAATGCTAATAAAGTGACACTAGAGGAATGCATTTTTCTAACAAGAACCAATTATTGTGGAAGATGAATAAACTACAAATGTTCATTACATGTCTTTATACTAACTTTAAGTCATAAAATCATAGTTTCATAGTTTTTGAAACTACTCTATAGCAGACCCACTTCTGATTAGCAGGATCTTTATCTCCTCTGTATGAGGCAGAGTGAGGGAGCAGTAACTTTAAGACAAGTAAATAATCAAAGGAAGACCACCACAGTCCCTCTGAAAGGAGCAGGGACAGAGTGTGTGTATGCAGACACCTGCTTCAAGGTACTTTTGTCCCTGGTCTCTCTCAACTGCTCTTGGCTCTGCTGCTGTCCCACATTCCCCAATGGTCAATAATACAATAAAAAAATATCCAGGCAGTTAGTAAAAGTATATCTGCTCTTAGCCAGCAAGACTGAATTAAAAGAAACACTCCAGAGAACTAGTATTGTTCTCAATTAAAATGAACACAATGTCCTAACATAAAAGTCCAACACCTTGACAAAAAGTTGGGCAGAGGAAATGAACAAGCAATTCTCAGGAAAGAAAGAAAAATAGAAAATAATGGATTAGAAGATACAAGTGAAGATATGGCAAACAAGAAATTTAGACCAGAAGTTAATAAACTTTACCAGTGAAGGATCAGTTAGCATATATTTTATGTTTTGCAGGCTATATGGTTTCTGCCACACTTACTTAATTCTCCATTGTAGAATGAAAGTAGCCACAGACGATACAYAAGTAAAATGTGGCTGAGTTCTAGTAATACCACTTAAAACACAGGCTGGACACTTTTATCTACTGCAGTAGACGCTGTGGTTATTGCCCCAACATCTACTCCACCTGCCCCTACTCTATAGTAGGCCTGCAGTATGGGTGGGATTTACCTAAATACCAGCTCTACCTTATCTATCAGGCTCATTCCATTTTTCTTGCCACTGGGATGGGTTTGAGGTAGTCTAATTACTGTGCAATGCAAAAATTGGGGGAGTAAAGGGATTCTGAGACAGAGCTAAACTCTCTCTTCAGGTTAGTGTAGTATGTCCATATAAATCTTTGAGCTGCCTTCAGAGACAAAGCTAAGATATAGAAAACAAAGCTAAAGGAAAATTACAAAGAAATAAAACAAATGCTATTCAAATGATACAGAAAATTTAACCAATCTCTGGAATTTTTAGTTACATGAGGCAAAAAAATGACCTTCAATATCTAAGCTAGTTTGAGTCAGGTTTTCTGTTACTTAAAACCATAAGCACCCAAGTGATATGCCATAAAATGGAAAAAAAAATATGCATATACTTTGAATTATCAATTCTACTTATGGGAGGGTACAGATATACTCAAGCATATATTCAAGGGTATATGGAAATTAAAATTATAGCTTCAACTGTGGTAAAAATTAGAAGAAACTAGAGGTCAAGTCACAATGATATATAAATGGAAACCTTGAGAGAGTATAATCTTGTTGACATAAGAACTGAGAAAATTCAAAGCGCAACATAGGAATTACTCACTTCAGACAGAGAACCTTCCAATGACTTCAGGAGCCCAGGAACAAAATGCATTAGCCAGGTGGGGCAAAGGTCTTAAGTTTAAATTTATACTGCTCTGGTCCCTTGTTATCCTGATTATAGTTCCTCAGAAGAATTTGCAGAGATGGGCAAGAATTTCTGAGAGAGTCAGCTTGTTTACTACAAAGGTTTTGATATAATGTCCCAAGAATGTAACCTTTAACTGTTTTTTTTTTWAAATAGCCACTATAAAACATACCTGTTAATAGAAAACTGTATTTATTACACAAAACTTGCTTGTTAGGAAACTGTATTGTTTGTTATAGATACCCTAGACTTATTATAGTATTTTTATAGAAAACTGAATTTATTTACTCACATTACAAAAAGGAACTTATAGCACTGTAATGATTAATTCTGTATTAATTCACCTACCACTATGCATATAAATATCTTTAATATACACAAGAACTGTCTAGAAGAATATATATACTAAGTGACTCTTTGTGAGGACTGAGATTGAAGGAAGGAGACTTTTCTTTTATACCACTGTTTCTTTTTTTAAACAAAAGTACAAATTCATAATAAAGGGCGGGAAGTGGGCAGGGAATCAAGAGAAACAAAACAAGAAACAAATGACCATTATGATTGAGTTTTACCTTGTTCAGACCCTTCCCCATCATCACAACTGTTAATCGACCAACTGGTGGAAACATGTCCTGTCCAGCCAGGGTGTTTGCCCACATCTACCGACCAGCCAAGGGAGAGCAAAAATTCTAGGAAATGTGGCTGAACATTTCTGGAAGACTCCACATTCTTTAAAATCTGAAATATATAACATCATCAGCTATCATGTAGGAAACATAAGAACATACTAAAATAAGTATTCATAAAACTGATTAGCTTTGAAGTTTCTGAAAAATCAAAATCCAGTTCAGAAGAAATTTGAGAATACATCACTGTTGTGAAAAATAAGTGCTCGAGTTATGTTTGGACTGGCTGGGCCTTAAATTTCTTAACTTGCCTCAACTTTCTTCATTTGTAAAATGGGGATAACAATAATGGTAGTGAAGGGTAATGAGATAATGTAGGTAAAGCCCTGAGCTCCATTCTTGCTGAAACAATTATTGAGTCTGACATATTTGTTAAAAATAAATAAAAGACACAATGTCCTTGCTGTGCACAGAGTTAATAACCTGGTTAATTTACAGAAATATTATATAGTTATGTAGTTATTTAACTACAAGTCTTGACAAATGCTACAAAAGTAAAAACCTATTAAGAATTCAATAGGGCTGGGGATGTGGCTCAAGCGGTTGCGTGCTCGCCTGGCATGCGTGCAGCCCTGGGTTTGATCCTCAGCACCACATACAAATAAAGATGTTTAAAAAAAAAGAATTCAATAAAGATTAGGTATATTAAAAATGTGAGAATACTCTTTTCTTAGTCCAAAGGAAAGAATACAGTCATTCCAGGAAAAATGAAGTGACCAAAAGATTCTCTCCTCCCCACTAATAACAAAYAGTGTAACGCTGGGGCTTTCTACTGATCTCAGGAGAATCTCTTGCTCTAAAAGAGTAGTTCTCATCTCGGGGTGATTCTGTCCTCCAGGGGACATTTGGCAATATCTGAAGACATATTTGGTTGTTTCAACCAGTAGAATAATGCTGGGGATTATAATAGAATAATCTAGGGGAAGAGGCCACAGGTACTGTTAAATGTTTAAAAATACACAAGTCAGGGGCTGGGGCTGTAGCTCAGTAGTAAAGAGCTTGCCTTGCATGTGTGAGGCACCGGGTTCGATCCTCAGCACCTCATAAAAATAAAGATACTGTGTGTCCATCTACAACTAAAAAAWATATATATATTAAAAAAATAAATAAAACACAAGTCAGTCCCCACAACTAAGAATTATCTGACCCAAGATAGCAACAGGGCGATTGTTAAAACACTCTGTTCTAAACAAAGGAAAATAAGAAATTCTTCTTCAAATTAAAAATAAAACAAGGGGTGGGGAACAGTGTATAAAAATCATCTGGGGAATGTGTTAAAGATGAGTCCATTACATTTTCCAGACATACATCAAAATTAGCCAAAGCAAGATCCTAGAATCACTATTTTTTAAAAACTCCCCCCAATGACTGTGATGCAGCCAGTCCCCAGATCACTKATGTCATTCAGACAATGCTAATATGCCAAGACCATGTAGACGCCTGTGAAAGTTAAAAATATGGGAAGTTACACATATTGCTTCTCAATATATTGTATCATTGCCAGATTTACCTCTTAAACAATTTAGTTAAGAAGCAGTAAGTGAATCAAATTCAACTTGCAGGTCACTTTCTGGCAGTTAGAAATTAATCACCTRTGGCCAGGAAGAGCAAGGTCTCAGCCACTCCAAAGAAGCCCCTGAGAAACTCCTTGTTTCCTGGTCACCCCAGACTCTAGAACCTAAGGAAATTGAACTGGTTGGTTTAGGAGTTGCCTCAAGGGCTTATGTATCCTTTAACAAGTAGGAGAAAAATGGCTCCAATATTCTCAAGTGAACAACACACGAGAGTCTTTTCAAAATACATCCCCAGCTCCTGTAATTAATCCAATTTACTGAGATTCTTTTAAAAAACTAGAGTCCACCACTTTCATATCTGCCTGTAACTAACTTATCTTCTCCCAAGCACCAAGCACACTGGCATTCATAATGAATTCCATAAAGATGCAATACTGTCTTATCATAATCTGTTTCTGCCTTTTTAATGAACACCTCAAATATTGCTTAACGTCCTATTTTCCAGGATGCTTTTTAAAAATCAGGTTATGTTTTCCTGTTAAGGCTCCTAAGACATATTTTAATGCCCCATTAGTATACTTTACAATGGGTGCTTATTTAATTGTCCTGTCTAGACAACAGTTCTAGAAAGCCAGAAGCCTTGTAGCATTTATTTTCCAGTGTAACCTGGGACCTAACAGAGAACAGACACTTAATATAAGAGTTACTGAAACAATAACATGAAATGAGGAGAACTTTCTCAAAAACTTCTTTTCCAGTAGATCACCAGTGCAAAATTTAAAATAATGCTTCTCAAGCAAACATTTTTTGACTTTGGTATGACTTTTGGTAAATTTCTTAAAAAGTGCTGATTTTATTAGTTAATAATCCTAAGTTGATTATAGTAAAATTCTAAGTCATATATCATACAGTCATAGTGCACTCACACATCTGAGTATTATATTTTACAAACCTTCCTTTGACTCTTTCCTAATTAGTTGGTAACTGCCCGTTCCATGTTTTAAATATTCATTTCCAATACAAAATTCAAATCTTCTGCCATTTTTCTCTTAGTTTTACATTCCCACCTATCTTATATCTTCCTTCTAGTCTCCTCTGCTACATACCGTTTTTATCCTTTACCTCATGCATCACTCCCTGCATTGTGCACTATGCATACCTTTTGTTTGTGAGCTTACCTGGAAGGAACCTCAAGGGGGGAGCCTGTTGCTCACTTGGTCTAGCTAGCCTGAGCTTTTTGTAGCTAATATGTATTTTATTTTATTTTGCCTATGAATATGAATTCGTTAAGAGAARGAAAGACATGCTACAATTCTACTCTAAACTACACTCCTTGAGAGTCAAAAGACTCAGAACACTAAATACTATAGTTTTAATTCTTTCTACTTCTTTAATTCTTTCTGAACAAGTTCATAGAGAGTCTTCATTTCTTACCAAGGATAAGGACAAACTTTTATGTAAATCTTATGTATTTATAGCACAAAATGTTGCCAAAAAGAAAAATAATTCAGAATTCTTACCTCTTGGTTTGTTTTCTGACCTGGTTTCATATAGAAAATAAAAACTGTGTCAAAAGGACGACATGGCAAGAGATCCAGATACCCGATGTCATCAAAAAACCCAGGTATCGTGGAATCAAGTGCAATAAGGTGAGGAGGTAGACGACTATTTGCAGGTTCCTACCATCAAAGGAAAAAAAAAGAGAAAGTATTATCTCTGTATCATTATTCTAATTATAAAGTAAGATTTGCTTTTGGTTGAATAAACATTAAATTAAAAAATTTAAAGTGTCAGGAATAAACACAGCCATAATCCTAAAGAAATTATTTAACATTTTAAAAATACTTCCTTCCAGTTCTTTAATCGCTTTTTTTTTGTTGTCACAGACACATCTCAGAAGAAGATATACAATCAATCAATAAATATATGAAAAAAATGTTCAACATCTCTAGTAACTAAAGAAATGTAAATCAAAACTACTTTAAGGGCTGGGGATATAGCTCAGTTGGTAGAGTGCTTGCCTTGCATGCAAAAGTCCCTGGGTTCGATCCTCAGCCCCGCAAAAAACAAAACAAAAAAAACTGCTTTAAGATTTCATCTCACTCCAGTCAGAATGGCAGTTATCAAAAATACAAGCAACATTAAGTGTTGGCAAGGATGTGGGGGAAAAGGTATGCTCATTCATTGCTGGTGAGACTGCAAATTGATGCAACCAATATGGAAAACAGTATGGAGAGGCCTTAGAAAACTTTGAATGGAACTACCAGCTATCCCACTCCTCAGTTTATACCCAAAGGATTTAAAAATCAGCATACTACAGTGATGTATTTTTAACTGGATATTATAGGTAGTCATTGTATATTTCCTCCTAGTTTATATATTTTTATGTGGGAATCTTAATTCTAATTTATTTTAAATATTATATTGATTCCCTTATGATTGTCTAATTAGAAGTCATATCAAGTGCAAACTGTCTCTTTGTTTCCAATGATTTTTATTTTTTTTTAAATTTTTTTAAGTTGCTGATACACACAATACCCCTATTTATTTCTAGGTGGTGCTGAGGATTGAACTCAGTGCCTCACATGTGCTAGGCATATGCTCTACCACTGAGATACAGCTCCAGACCATGATTTTCACCTCTTATTTAGTTTCTTTTAATATTTTATTAGCTTTCTTCATTTTCATACTGTACTATAGTTAAATATGATACTGTCCTCGGGGAAGATCTCCCTGCACTTTTATTTTACAATTTCCTATTAATTTATAATTACTTAAGACCAAAAAGTTTTAAAAGATTCATTAATTAAATTCCTCATTGGCTGGGTTTGTGACTCAGTGGTAAAGCACTTGCCTATCATGTGTGAGGCACTGGGTTCGATTGTCAGTATCATATATAAATAAATAAATAAAGTTCCATCAAAAACTAAAAAAAWTTTTTTTAAAAAATTCCTTGTTGTTAAATAGTAATCAAAGAAGACATTACCTCTGATTTTTATAAAAGGTGCCTCCAGTTTGCTCCTGGGCTCCCTTCAGAGAGATCTTTAATAAGGACCTACACTAATAGTCCTATATATATTTTTTTAATCAGAATGTTAGTGTATTAAACACTGATGCATTGTTTTATTAACTGATCTGCCTACAGAATCAGTGGTTTTCTTAAAAATTTTACTAATATTTTACAAGAATTATTTCTCTTTGAGCTGCTAGGATAAATTTTGGTCATGGAAGATCATTCACTTTTTTTTTTTTTTTTTGGTACCAGGGATAAAACTCAGGGATACTTAACCATTGGGCCATATCCCCAGCACTATTTTGTATTTTATTTAGAGACAGGTATCACTGAGTTGCTTGGTGCCTCGCCATTGCTGAGGCTGGCTTTGAAYTCAAGATCCTCCTGCCTCAGCCTCCCTTATCACTGGGATTATAGGCATGTGCCACTGTGCCTGGCAAGATCATTCACTTAACATGTTATTAATTCAAAATTTAGCCAGCATTCACTTATATACTTTTGTACACATATTCATAAGTAAGACTAATTTGTACTTGTTTGTTTCTGTATGTGCTGTCATGTTTATAATTAGAAATATGCTAACATTCATAAAATAAACCAGGTGCCTTTCTTGACTTTTCCCTATGTTCACATACAGAAGAAAACTGTTATTATTATTTTTTTGCAGAGCTRGGGATTAAACTTAAGGCCTCAAGCATGCTATGCAAGTGCTCTACCMCTGAGCTACATTTTCAGCTCCTATTATTTTATTTTGAAATAGGGTTAAGTTGCCCAGGCTGATGACAGGTGTGTGCCACCACGCCTAGCTGAAAATTTTCTTGAAAGCTTAAAAATTTCAATATGGAAAGCATGAATGGAAAAATCACAATCTCAGGGGAAGGGCTCTCAGGAGTCCTCATCACAAGTAATGATTTTCTTCTACCATATTTTTATTTACTGCTCTACTCTGTTCAGTTTTTCCTACTAGGAATATCACTAGTCATTTGTATGGAATATCACTAGTCATTTGTATGCTGGATCTGTGCTTCTTGCCTTCCCTGTTTACCACTGTATTTCTTATTATTTTCCTCTTTCTGCTCTTTTATTCTGCATTTTAAGAGATTTTATGTTCATATTCACCACCACAAACTCAGTTTTCTACAGTGGTAAAATATTTTCTCTCTTCATGCTAAAATCCAAAATTACACAGTAATGTCGTCCTGCTTTCCTAGAAAAGTTAAATGGCCTGTGGCCCGATAGTTGCTAGGGAGGTGTAAGAGCAGAGGACAACCTTGGCAATAAACAATATCTTGCCTCACAATCTTCAGTTGTACTTTTCAAAACAAACAGGCCTTAGAATAAACTCCCAATCTACCTTTAAACAAGTTATTACACATTTTAAAGATTATTTCTGTATCTAAAAAACAAGGATAGTATTTTAAAGATAATTTAAATACTATTTAAAGATAAATTGTTTAAAAATAATGGAATTAAGAATAAAGGCAATATTTATCTTAGAGTTGGCTTACTTTGTGTTAAGTACTACCTGAAGAATTTTACATGTGTTAATCTTCATTTGAAGAGATGGATACTATTATCATTCCCACCTTAAAGTAAGGAACTGAGAAAGCCAGTCATTCAAGACCACATAGCTGACAAGCGGTGATACCAGGACATAAACCTAGAAGTCTGATCTTAACCAACCATACGACACAAGAAGAACGTGGCTTACATGTTACAGAATTAGCCTTATTCTTTTTAAAAGTAATATAAATGAACTGAAACAATTATAGCCCATACTTACCATAATAAAGTTGACTATGGGAAGATTTTTAACATTCCTTTTCTAATTATCTGTAGATTTCACTTATATGTGCAACATGGGTCCTGTATTGACCAAGGAAACTCAGAGCTAGGTATTTTATCAAAGTTGTCCCCTTAGACAGAACTCTGAATGAGATGAGGGGGTGAATTGTCCTGGAGCTCATGCTATATAACCTACTGAATTTCACTCTCTACTGAATTTCATCTACTTTCATGCAGTGTAAGTCTGTAATTAGTCTTAAATTTTTTTCTTCTATCTTCATAAAAATATTATAGTTATCACAAGCTGAATATTAATTTATGAATATACTTATTGATTAAACTTCATGAAAATTACCTTCAATGCCTCTAAAGACAAAAATCCAAAATGTGAGAGGAAAAGGCGGGCTGTCTGAAATTCCTGGGCAGGTGGTGGGGGCTTGCAATCCGTAATGGGGTCAGGAAAGCTTCTCTTCTGCAATTCTCCCTCACTCTGCTGCTCAAGGTGTATCTCATAAGCAATCTGCTGGGCCATGCCACTCCTTAATTTTTCATGTCTCTCTTCTAACTGAAATAAAGCAAATATTTCAGTTTGGAAGAACTATTATAAAAATAATYGGGTTACTCTTAATTTTAAATAAAGTTAAAAGTAACAAAGAAAATGAAGATAATTTTCAATGATCAATATTGTATTTCAGTTCAAAATAGAGCATATAATTAAGCAAACATGTTACAAAGTTAAAACTACACCAAAAACACTTCCCCAATGCCTCATAATTGCTCCCTCATCTCCTGGCTGTAAATGATATCATTCCATCTCTGCTCCTCTTCAAATAGGCAGGAAAAGGGACAGAATTGTTGCTTCTACCTCCACTTCCAGATCACTATCTATCTTCATCCTGCACCATCACCTCATCTTTTTCTGTGGGTTGGGAGGGGAAAGGGGTGCCAAGGATTGAACTAAGGGGCACTCAATCACTGAGCCACATCCCCAGCCCTATTTTGTATTTCATTTAGAGGCAGGATCTCACTGAGTTGCTTAGCACCTCACTTTTGCTCAGGCTGGCTTGAAATCGTGATCCTCCTGCCTCAGCCTCCAGAGTCACTGGGATTACAGGCATGTGCCACCACGCCTGGCATCATCTTATGTTTTTGTTATTTTGAGTGTCTCCTAGGTGCCCCCCAGTACTAGGAACTGAACCCAAGGCCTTACACATGCTAGGCAAGCAGTGAGTTACATCCCAGTCCTTTTAAAATTCTATTTTGAAATAGGATTTGGGCTCAAACTTGTCATCCTCCTGCCTCAGCCTCCTCAGGAACTGAAATTACGGGCAAGCACCACCATGCCCAGCTGGTCTCATTTTWAAAAATCTTTTCCACATGGATTCCTTGACCCCTTCCTTCCCTTCTGATCAATCCTATTTTAAATTTCCATCCTCTGGTGAGTAACAATCCTTCTAACCTTCTGGCTTAACTCAACAACCTCCTCAAACTTTACAACTTACCACCTATCAGCATATCTTGAACCGCAGACGTAACCTACTTTAAAGGCTGTAACTCTGAAATTCCCACTCTAATCCTAAATTTCCTTCCTGTACTCCCTGAGGTTGTGTCTCACTATCACCAAGGGACATTTAACCCCTCCTCATATTTTTCCATGCCACTTCTGGCTTCTGTTTCCCAACTAAGCTTAAATCTCCATGCCTTCTCCTCATGCCTTCTCCATAAGCACGAAATACTCCTCCCATCTTGGCCTTTCCTTAGCTCAGTAATTTCTTCATGATCTTACCCATTCTATACCCTCCCTTTTTGTGTTAATAATGTAATTTATATTCACTGACCCTCATTAACCATTCAATCCCCAACCCCTCAATTTCTGCATCCCACCTCACACACCTTTGAAGCTTTTCTCAAAGGTCACCTACATTTTCATGCCAAAATTCAGGATTTTATATTATTCCTCCTTCTCCTTGATCTCTCCAGCATTGACAGAGTAGCCTTTCCTCCATTTCTGCCCATTTGTTTTCTTACCTAAAATACCTCTGTCACTTACTTCTTGAGACCCAAGGTTCTTCTCTCTTGATTTAAGAGACCAGTTACTTAGTCTAATTATCTAAATTAATCTTAAACTAAAACTTTTCCCATCCTCCCAAACCTATCTTCTTCCTAACACCCGTATTTCTGTATATTATACCAGTATCTCTTTATCACTCAAGCTCAAGACCTAAAACTACTTGGCTCCTTCCCTTTCCTCATTAACCCAAGATTGCTTGAATCTACCTTCACAATACACTATATATATTAAACTTCTTTCAGTGACAATCCTTCCTTTTCCTGCTTGGATTATCAGTTGGTCTCTGAATTGGTTCCCATTCTCCAAAAATCCTCCAGTACAAGTGTCCGATCTTATCACTGAACCATTGAAACCTACTAGGGAACAGCCAATTCCTATCAGTCCCAATTTACATTTGTCTTGCCTCCTGGATATCAGAGACCCAAGCCATCTTATGAATCACCACCCATAACACTAAAGTCAGTCTTAAACGCAAAAGTCATTTAAGAATGTTCAGGGTTGAGAACAAAGTTCAGTGGTAACCACTTACCTAGCATATGAAAGTCCCTGGGTTCTATCCTTAAATCCTTAATTTTGTATTTTAAAAGATGCACTCCCCCATGAATGTTTATATCGACACCCTTAAAAACTGCTAGAAGTAATTTATCTTACTTCTTCAGTGACAATTTCATGCAAATCTGGAATACTCAGGTCTGCTTTCACAAAAGGTATCTTGTCCACCTCTTCAGGAAATGGCCGATGTTTCACAGTATACTTAAATCCAACATCATTTTTAGGAACTGGGCGAGGTTCAGGCACAAATAGCTGTTAAAATAATACAAAGAACGTTATGTTTCTTGCATATGATCTAATACCCATCTGTAATGACATGCATTTCCCTGTTTTGCTTTGATACCTGTGTTTCCTTAGGATTACATGTCATAAAAACTCAGAGAATCCACAAATGATACAACCGAGGGTAAAGACAGGCAGCCTGCATACCTGCAAACTCAATTTTATTTTATTTTTCTAAAATTGTCCATTGTAGATATTGTATATTTTATGACTGATGAATGGGCTGTAGACCTCTATAGCTCAAGTCTGAATCTCCCACATTCAGTGATAAGCCAAAGAGTGAGACATTTCAGAACTTTAAGACTCAAACTTCCTTCTTCTCCAAGAACTCTCAAATCACTCCATATAATAAAGTAGAACTTCAGTTCCTTGGGGGCATCTCTAGAAAGTGAGTTCAATTAGAACCTTAAGTGGCTTAATTAGGAAAGTATGGGTACCAAATCTAGGTCTTCAAGGCTCTAAAACRTTGCATGAATGTATACATGGTATATATTGAGCTACAATAAATTTTAGTTCCGTTCCTGATTCCCTTCTGCTTCAATCTTAAAGGCTTACAGAGCTGCTGACAGAATGTGATCTGCTCATCACAGGGTAACAAACAGCTCATCTAAGAGTCATCTAGGATGTTATTTGATTTTAGGCACATGCTCCAATTTTATGGGTATAATTCTCAGTAATATAAGTACAAGCTTCCAAGTAATACATGAAAAAAGCAGTATACCAAATGACTTTAGTCCTATTTAAGTGTAACTATTTATAGAAAGAGATTGAAAGGAAATTCACTAAAACATTACCTGGAGCTATCTCCCTCTGGAGAGTACAGTTGATTTAATTTTTTCCTTATTATCCAATTATAAATGTCATAAAAGATTGTATTAAATACAATTTATTACCAATTACATGTAATAAATTAGGTAAAACAATTTGAAACTAAGTCCTATTGCTATATATATCAAAAGTCCGGCAATTTTTTTTTTTATAGTATGTATCTTTTATTTTATTTTAAATTGAACAGAAAACCCTGGGAATTATAAATGTAAATTGGGACTGATAGGAATTGGCTGTTCCCTAGTAGGTTTCAATGGCTCAGAATAGTAGTCTTTATTCCTAAGTGGAAGTCTGAATCACCTGGAAAGCTTTTGGAAAATACAACTGYCTTAAAGATGCCTTTAAAAACTAATTCTGTAGACCTGGAATTCCAGGTTCCTAAAGCAATTATGATGTGAACCCACTGACTGAGGACCTGGACAGGGATCAGAATATTGATTGTATCAAATGATTTTTGTTGGAATGCTATTTAACCTTTAACCCCCCCACCCCACCCCACACCCACCCCCACACCCACACTCCTCAGCAGTCACTTCCCTGTAACTTGTGATGGATACCTTCTGGTTTGCTTTTGCTCCTCTGGGTAAAAGGCAAAGCTGTTGTGCCCAAGCAAGTCTTCCAGACATCCCCCGGACCAGCACAGTGACAGAGGGGAAAAAATCATCTAGAATAAAATGTTTGTGTAAAGTTTTTATTTCAGACAACAAATCATTTTTTTAAAAAACAACTTTTCTTTTTTAAACAACTGCAGAACTTCTCATAACCAAAGTCCTAGCTCAGTGTTTCCTAAACTTCAATCCTTTGTGTATTCCCTTTGTGGTTTCTKCCATACCCAAGTATAATGAGTACTATGAGCTTACTTTGTACCAACCACTCCTAATTTTTAACTTAAATTTAATGAAAAAGGAAACTGTAAATCTCTACTTTAAATGGAAAAACTATGAAACTTGGTGTGCTAATTATGTATCTTTAAAACATATCTTTAAAAATGTGGTATATATATATATTCAATGGAATATTACTCAGCTTTAAAGAAGGAAATTATGGCATTTGCCAGTAAATGCATGAAGTTGGAGAATATCATGTTAAGCAAAATAAGCCAATCCCCCAAAAAATCAAAGACCAAATGTTTTCTCTAATATGTGGATGCTAATTCACAATAAGGGGGGGGGGCACTAGAGAAGAAGAGAGTTACCTTAGATTAGGTAGAGAGAACTGAAGGGAGAGAAGGGGAGGAGATGTGGAGATAAAGGATAATAAAACGAAACAGACATTACTGCCTTATGTATAGATGTGACTGCATGACCAATGTGATTCCACAACCTGCACATGCAGAAAAATGATAAATTATATCCCATCTATATATATATATCAAAGTGCATAAATGCAGTCCACTGTCATGTATAACTAATTAAAACAAATTAAAAATTAAAGAAAAACAAACACATCTTTAAAAAGACATAAAATAATGTTCACCAATGCTTTAACCAACATCATCTCACTTACCTCCTGTGGTACACACACATCTTTGGGAAATGCTATCCTAACTAATACTCTAACTTTCTAATGTTGGGAACAACAATTCATGAAGTAGATTGGGTATCTGCAGTGTTGGTGTTATAGTCATGGCTCCGTGTAGAGCTGCCCAGCCCAGGCAGGCACTGTTTCCTCTGGCAAAAGTTCAGGGACAGAGAATAAATGTGTGGAAACTCAAGAGAGGGGGCTGGGGTTGTGGCTCAGTGGTATAGAGTGCTCGCCTAGCATATGTGAGGCCCTGGGTTGGATTCTCAGCAYCATGTATAAATAAATAAAATAAAGGCCCATTTACAACTAAAAAATATATATCTTTAAAAAAAAAAGAATTCAGGAGGGGCTTCCTTATAACTCAGATCCTTTTTTTTTTTTTTTAGTTGTAGATGGACACAATGTCTTTGTTTATTAATTTTTATGTGGTGCTGAGGCTTGAGCCCAGTGCCTCACGAGTGCTAGGCAAGTACTCTGCCACTAAGCCACAAACCCCAACTCTCAGATCCTCTTTATTTTCTTCTTTTATTTCAAATGTAGAGTCAAACCTGTTCAGTTTCTCTTATTTTTTTTAAATTTACTTTTTTAAAAAATTTCTTTCTCAGGTGTTATTGCCACATAGTTCTAAATCCTTCTGACAAATGCATAAATACTTAGAATTCAGTCTTTTCCTTTGCTCACAGAAATAACAAACACATTGATTTAGCACTAGAGAAGTCTGAAAGTGCTACAACTTACTCTGCTCATTTCCAAGAGGTTGCTCCAGCATTGCTAGGATAACACTGTTATCCAAGACAAAGTACCGGAAACTATGCTTGTTGATAGTTGGCAGCCTGGAGTATTTGATCAGAGTGGTCTCATTCACCAGACTACAAGGAGAGGCAGGACCACTGGGTGAAGGAAATGCACCAAGCAACTGCATAATACTATGGAGAATGAAATAGAGAACAGTTAATTCCCAAAACAAACTTGTAAAGTTTACTTCACACATCCATGTGTCCTTCTGCTCCTCTGAATTGTAAGTGGCCATGGCCTTCCTCTTTACAGGTCAGATTTGCTCCCTGTGGTGAATATCATGGTGTGCTGTCCAGATTGTGCCCTCTAAGATTGAAAGGCCCATTCCACCAGTTGCAGGGAGATGTGGCCACAGCTCTCAGCTGAGTTGCTTTCTAGGACTTGCCCTTGGCCAGTAAGAAACACTCCTTCATGAGCTCCAGTCCAACGAATAGTTGACTCAGGGTTATAGAGTCCATGCCCCCTCATCTCAGCTTGAGAGAACGCTGAAGGGCCAAGTGAGTTCCAAAGTATTTTGCTGCAATTGCATCCCAGTTCAGTTCCTCCTTTGCCTAGTCCTGCTTTCTCTATTCCCCCATAGGGATTTATACAAAGAGGACTTTCCAATAAAATCTCTTGAAAACTGATTTCTCTCAGAATTTGCTACCCCAGGAACATACTAACCACACTTCCAAATCATGAAACTCCCAAAGATTTTTTAATTCTATCTGTATGCTCCAGGCTTCAGGACTATTCTAGCTAAGTATTATAGGCCTAGAAAAGGGCTAAAGATCAGCCAAACCCCCTCACTTTTCTGATAACAAAACTCAGGCTCAGAAGAGATAGATAACTGTTAAGAGGCCAGAAACCAAGAGCTGCTGCTTTCTCCCTGTGTGGGTAGGAGTAGATACATACTCATGTTACAGATAGGAAACTTGAGGCACTAATAGTTACATCTCACAGAACTAATGTAATTACTAAATCAAAAACTATATGGAAAAATTTTCTATAAGYTGGAATTCAACTGATCAAGTCTTAATATTCAGAAACATTTATAGAGATTTCTACAAGTACTCAATGAAAAAGTAACAATAACTGAACATAGCTCTTACTCTGTGGAAAGTAATGTTCTAGGCACTGTATATACATTGTTTCATGTAGTATCTTAACAACCCTGAGATAGGTATCATTGTTTTTCCCATTTATAATAAGAAATTGAAGCTCAGGGAAAAGTATCTTGTAATTAAAATATAAAGGCTCTATCCTGCGGTTCTAATGTCATCTGACCTTTTATCACTCCAACATGAGCTGAGTGGCCTCTCCTCTCATTCTAAGGCTAGAACCCAAAGATCCCTGACAATGGAAGACAATGTGGTTCAACAGATGTTTTCCTTCCATTCTCTCACCTCCTAGAAAAACTATCTTTTTTTTAAATTGTTTTAGTTGTAGATGGACACAATGCCTTTATTTATTTATATGTGGTGCTGGGGATTGAACCTAGTGCCTTACATGTGAAAGGCAAACATTCTACCACTGAGCCACAACCCCTATCCCCAAGAAGGACTATCCTAAGAATTCCAAGGATCAAGAGAATTGATCAGTTCAGGCCTCTAATAATTTGGGGAAAATAGGTGAAGTATCAGGAAATCATTAATGAGAAAACATGGCTTTGGTTCTAAAACTGGACAAAGATGGATTACACAAAGCATACAGGCCAACTGAGCTTGTGTTCCATGTAAGAACCTAAGATATTATCAAATAGGTCCTAAAAAAGGAATAGATCACTGAGATGCAACCATACCAGCCTACCCACATTTTCTCTTTTGACAGTAACTTGACTGGAAAAGTGAGCAATTATCCCTGCAATCACAGTATTTGACAGTGTGTCATGATAAACTTGTAGCTATGATTTAAAAATCCAAGTGAACCTTAAGGAAATTATCTGCTGATATGCTTTGTGAGTCAGTCTCTTCAATATTTTTATCAATGATTTTGATTAGAACACACAGGAGAAACTCATTAAATTACTGAAGACAGAAATCTGGCCTCTACCCAGACTGGGGCAACAACAGTAGTATGTATCAAATATAACAGGTATAATGATGACAATATAGAATTCCATGCTGTGTGATAGGGTCAGACAGAGAGAGCATAGAGGTGCAGAAAGCAGTCTTCCTTCAGAAGAATAACCCAAAGGTCGAAGGGAGGTAGCTAGATTTGATGTAAGCATTGAATAGTGGAGGATGTGGCCAAGGGAAGAGAGAGAGCCTGAAGTTCAGGAGAGGAGCATAAGCATGTAAGAGCATGCCCAGTTCACAAGTAACACGACCATGGCAGGGGTGTGCTGGGAAGCAGTAATGAGAAAGATTAGTCCTCTTGAAATTCAGACAACATGGCAGAAAAGATACCTACTTAAGATTTTCAATCACTCAAGCTACAGAATAAAAACTATGCTTACAGATGAGGAGTTTAGCAAGATAAACAGAAAGGATTATGATACTGAAAACAAGAAAACCAGGCAAGAAGAAAAGAGGGCCTGGAGTAGGATGCTATCTGAGACTAGAGGGGGCAGAGAGAATATTTTACAAAAGTCAAGTCTGTTGGATTCAACTGCTGGCCTCATGTGAAGAATGAGAGATAAATCAGAGAAAAAGTCAAAGTTCTGTGTTTATATAACCAGAAACAGTGAATAATGACAAAGCAGCAACCATGACAGAATAGAGAGATTTGGCTGTGGGCATTTTCCATGATAACAGAATAATTCTGTATCTTCTTCAAGACTAGCAACCAGAGAAACCACTGGTGGAGCTTCCAGCAGAGACAGGAGAGAAGAAGAAAAAGAGATGAGCTATCTAAATAACTGCTGTCTAGATTGTCACTTACCCTGAACACGTATCAAGTTCTCACTGGTAATCATGCTCTCAAAGGAAAATCCCACCCAGGCTAGGATGCAGCAAACTTATTAGTATCATGAAGAACTTCCAATGAGAAATGCCCTTCCCATTTCTTTCCATATCCTTTTCCTCTGCAAGGCACATGCCTAATTCTATAACACTTTAAGGTTACCCAAGGCTCTTCTCTGAACTCCTATTATTATCTACATAAGCTTTAGCTGCGCTCACATTTTTATGATCTTCTAGCTATTAGCAAAACCTCCACAAAGGAAGTCACTGGAAGTCCAGCATTATACAAAAAGAGCAAGATTTAGCTAAAGCAAGCATCCTGTTTAAAATTTACTGAATGACCTAAGCTCAGGAGGAACAAAAACAAATCCAACTTCACTATACATACCCCAAATAAGACCACAAACACCCAAAGGCTGCTGGGATCTTGTTTTATTTATTTATTTATTCATTTATATTTTTATTTTAAGTACTGAGAACTTAACTCAGAGATGCTTCACCACTGAGCTATATCCCCAGTTCTAGTTAAAGACAGCAYCTTGCTAAGTTGATGGGTGTCTCGCTAAATGTCGAGGCTGACCTCAAATTTGCAATCCTTCTGCCTCAGCTCTCCGAGTCAATGGGATTACAGGCATGTACTATGGTGTCTGCCTAGCCTGCTGGGATTTGGGGAGGGGTTGATTTACMTACAAATCTTCAAACAGTCTTACTTGCCACTTTACTAAGACCAAAACAAGCCACCCCACACTGGCTAGACATTCCTTCTTCCTACTTTTACATTTTTCTAGATCTTCACTTCATACCTGTCCTTTTCTAAGCCCCTTCTATTCATCACTCCTGTGACTCCATGTAATCTTCCCCACTTAATGATCTACACCACCAGCCTTTTTCTTTATTCCTTTACTACCAAAACACTGACACAGCCATCTTGGCACCTTCTTAACTGCCCCATAATCTAGCTGACAGCTCAGAGTCAGTTTCCATGTCATTTTCCCTAGGGATGTTGCTTTGATTTCCCAATATCAGGAAGTACTCATTTCTTCTTTCCAACACCCCAGCGCTTTCTTTGTACCTCTTCTTTTGGAACACTAAGTACCCACCTAATATTACAGCAATTTGTGTTCATAATTTATCCTCCCTACTGTCCAGTAGTAACTGAATCTGATTTATCTTTGCAATCCACTGTCAGTTCTTTATAGGAAGTTAATAAATCCTGGCTGAATGAACCTATGACATAATATAAATGATACAGCAGAGATCATGACCATGGAACTGGGGAGCAGGAGATCTGATGCTATGACCATAGACAGACACCTCTCCTCTCTGGACTCAGCTATCAAACTGAGGGGGAAGAATAAGTCTCTCCAAGGTCTATTCTAGCTCCAACATGATCTGACACGAATTAACATCAACCAGTATAGAAAAACAAGGACCCAAACTCTTCACCCCAAGTTCCTGGTTTCTTTTGATCTAAAACACAGGTTTAAAAAAAAAAAAAAAAAAAATATATATATATATATATATATATTTATATCTCCTTTCCTTTTTATTTTTGGAGAAAGTTCCTAAAGGAGCTGAACAACTGTGGAAGAGATGAAACAGGCAGGGATCACTGCTAACCCTATCTAATTCCCAGGCTCAGTCCTTGGCAGTCACTTTCATACCATGTCAGGGTGGCTTCAGCAGCATCCTTTACCCTCATAGATGCAGGGTTTGGCTCCTTATCTCCTTTGTACTTGACCTCTTGCTCACTGTTCTTGGACTTACTTCCTGAGATACCCAGTTCCACAATCTCCAGTACTTCCTTAAGACAGTCCTAAGAGCAGGAAAGGCAGAACAATTTTTATAATACACCTTTCTTATGAGAAAACAAGGAGTATATAAAAATGATAACAGTGGTTGTATTTTGGTGGTAGAGCTTCAGGTTCTAATTTTCTTTAATAGGTAAAAATAAATATCATAGTAACATAATAAATCTTATACCTCTCCTCCAAATTTCTCTTCGAAAAACTAAATTTGCAGGTTTAGAGAGTAGATACTAATTAAAATTAAATTCAATTCAATTGTATCAGTCATAATTTCTTAAAAATTATCATGGATCATAAACCATGAAAGAGAACAGTAACTCAAAACTTTGGATAGCTTAAGACATATTAGATTATCTAATATATCAAAGGGAAGTTAATGAGTGATCAACTTTTTTGGGGGGCAGTGAGGGCAGTAATGGGAACTGAACCTCAGGGCATTCTATCATCGAGCTACATCCACAGGGCTGGTCTTGAACTTGTGATCCTCGTACTTCAGCCTCCTGAGTCACTTGGATTATAGGTGTGCACTAGCACACCAAGCTGTTCACATATGAACATGGGAAAGTTATGTCCGATTCATTCTACTGTTTTTCCTATTCCCATCCCTACCTTTCCCCTTCATTCCCCTTTGACTAATCCAATGAACTATGACTAAGATTTTATTGTGGGGGGAGGGTACTAGGAATTGAATCCAGGGGCATTTTACCACTGAGTTATATCTCCAGTCCTTTTTATTTTTAATTTTGGGACAGGGTCTCGTTAAATTGCTAAGGCTGATCTCAAACTTGCGATCTTCCTGCCTTGGCCTCTCGAGTCAAAAGGATTATAGGTGTGCAGAAAAGTGACTTAGATTTTATCAACAATAATATTTTTAAATTATATAAAGATCTCTATAAAAACTAACTGTGATAGCTCTTCTTTTACTTTCACTGAATTCTTATAATGCCTGCTTTCCTATAAGGACTAATGGCATGGAAACCACACTAGATATATGTGTCTACTGAAAAGTGAAAAAAAATGTCTGTGAAGTAAACTTTTTAGATAAAAGCAATCTTTACAGATAAGTTGTGCTGTGCTCTAGCATTCCAGGCTAGGAAATCAGTTGCCCTTCCTGTTTTGGTAATAGGTGCTCAAAGTGTTTACTAGCTATTTCCAGTATACTAACCTTTCAGTAAGAACAATATTGATAGGTCAGATAAATCAGGCAAGTCTCCTTTTTAAAAGAACTTCTCTGTGGGTTACTTTGCAACCAACTAGAAGTATGACAACAGTCTATATGTTGTGCTCAAAATAAGAAGAGTTCTATTAAAATCTAACAAGTATATTAAAAGTGTGACATTGTATTTAAATTTATATATTCTCTTATACAAGGCATTGGCCGACATACATTTCTGTTTCTACTTAATGTTTTAAAATTGAATAAACTCACCTTTTCATCAAGCATATCAGGGTGCTCTGTCAGCCAGACACACAGACACTGAAAAGCTGCCACTATCATGGAGTGCAGATCCCGGGAGTGAAAAGGAGCTGGCCGACTGCACTGGTACACAATGTAGCTGCACACAGAACTGATGGCTCGCTTCCGGTCTCCTGAGTCAACCATCACCTTCACCTGAGCATGTTCATTTGGGGAACAAAAGCCATTAGCAAGAAATCACTGTACCAATTTCAAAGCATCTTTGTTAAGGCTGAGCCTATCTGAGAATGTGATATGCCATAGAAGGCCTTGTTTTATAAATATTATTTAGACAGAGAAACAACATGAAATATTTCAGATGTACTAATCACACTCTATAAAAATAGAGGCAGTTTTCAAAGCCTAAATGGTATTTCACTTTAGCATGGRTTTTCATGCCTAAATTCAATTCATTTGTGTCCATCTTACTCCTCATTGCCAGTGACTGAAAGAATAGGTGGCAAGGGAACATGCACATCTTCAAGCCCCATAATGTAACCTCACAGAAATGCTCTGTGCTCTGCACCAGTTTGGTATAGTTGTTCAGAGGTATGTTTATACTGCACCTATTTAAAGTGTACAATCTGATCAATTCTGACATAAGGACAAATCTGTGAACTATACCCATAATCAAGATAGTCAAACATATAACACCCCAAAATCTCCTCATGCACCTTTGTAATCTTCCTCCCATTCCTCTTTGCCCCCTTCCCTAACCCACCACTGATCTGCTGTCACTATAGATTAGCTTGCACTTTCTGGAGTTTATAGAAATAAAATCATTCATTGTGTGCTTTGCAGCTTTTCCCTTCTACTAAGCAGTTATTTTCAAATTTATCTACATTTTTGTATGTATCTATTTTTATTCCTTTTTATTGTTGAATAGTATTCCACTTCATGAATATCCTAGCTACCTGTTAACAGACATTTGTTTCCAAGTTCTGGACATTACAAATAAAACTGCTATGAACTCCTGTGCAAATCTTTGAATGGATATATGCTCCTATAGTGGGAGGGAATGACTCAATCATAGATAGCTGTTTTCCAAAATTATTATCCAGTTCACATTCCCATCAACAGTTCTTTCATATTTCTCACCAATATTTGGTATGGTCTATATTGTTTGCCATACAAATAAGTCTGTAATGGTAACTTACTGTGGTTTTATTTGTATTTCCCTAATAATACTAAACATCTTCTCATAGGCTTATTTGCATATCTTCTTTAGTACAATGTCTATTCTAATTTAACTGAGTTGCTTRTTTTATTATTGACGGAGTTCTCTTGGTGTTGTCTTTTTAAAAGGTTTTATTAAGGTCTTTCTGAAGTAATATCGAAACTCCAGATCCAGCTGCCAAGGAAACCCTCTTCTGCGGCTGGGGCATAGCAGATGGCTCTAGCTTCCTAACCTCCCATCCAAAGATGAGGTGGTCAAGTGCATCTCATCTTTCAGGTCCACGATTTTCAGTGGTCAATCAGACAGGGGCTTCTTACTGCCAATTACTGCTCGGTCCCAGCACAGCATGACTTTCACTTTAACGCCAAGCACACCCTATCTGAACAGYGCCCAGTAAGCGTAAGTACCAACATAGCTGCTGGTATGGTTTGGATRTTAGGAGTCCTCCAAAAGCTCATGTGTAACACAATACACAGATGCTCAGTGGTGAGATAATTGGGTTATAAGAATTTAACATAGTCTACTCAATCCATTTCCTGGATTAAAAAT